GATCTTCTAATGGAATGTAATGCCTCTGACCTGCAGAAAAATTTTTCGATTCTACACTACTCTTATCTCTAAATATATTATCGTTGTTTTTTATTAAAATTCGGACGTTTTTGGGTGCTAATTCTTCCGATTCACAGGGTTCTCTGACGGGTGTGTTTCCCCTGTTACTTCCACACCCCTTCGGGAGTTTCCCTGTTGACAGACAGGACACTTTGGGGTTACTGTGTCCGGCTTCCCACACCTATAGCAGAACAATTTCCGGACTTCTACTGGACAGTCCATAAAAACATGCCCCTTTTCTCGACAGTTCCAGCAGATCATTGGGACTCTAATTTGGCTTTGTATCCGGATAGCTGACAGCTCTTCACCAATATTCTCCTCCGGTACTTCTACATGCTTTTCATAAATTTCATCATATATTTCATTTACTTGGCGGATAGGTCGCTGGGGGAACGTTACAGCTCTATTTTCGCGCCTAGGGAAATTTCTCTCAGCTTCAATACATTCTATTCGTAGCTGTTCAACCGACGAAATGGTCATCTGATATACATGTCGTTTTATATCTTCACGTATATTTCCCCTTAGGATCTTAATCATTTCGTACTCGTAAATAGGTTGAAGTAATCTAGATCGCAAAATTCCCATCTCGTGAAAATAACTATTGATGCTTTCATTTGGCCTTTGTTTCCTTTCTAACAAATCCCTGAGTATGTCGAATTTGGATTGTGGGGTTTGATACTGGCTTATCAGCGCTTCTTTAAGACCCATCCAATCGGTGTAAACATTACTTTGTCTATGCAGCCAATACCATTCTCTGGCTTGACCAGAAACCAGAAAGGCGAAATCCCTCAACACTTCAGACCATGGAATGTTATATTGAGCCTGCATGATCTCTAACCGCTTAATAAAATCCATAACTCTTAAGCCTTTCGGGTCACCACTGAAATTTAAACCAAGTTTATCAACTCGTATTCCTAGTGGTTCCACTCTAAACGTATTCGTTATCGGGCCAGTAAATTGATCTGATAATGGAGTTTGACTAGCACTCGGAAATTGGATAATTGGTGGCATATTCCTATTTACTGCGTCATTATTATTGTTTGACGTCGGATTAGCATTACTATTTGTAATAGAATTAGAGGCTATTGTAGCCGTTGGGGGTACAATTAATTGTTTACGCACAGTGTCGGATAGTTCTCTCATGCCTTTTGATAAAGAATCTATCATTTTCTTCACATCAGATATTTCTGTTTCGACCATTTTTTTAACTTTATCTTCCAATGACTTCTGGACAGACGCTGCTTCATCTTGTACTAGTCCATGTAAGTCGGAAGTAGTTGGACCATTATTATTCAAATTATCACTCACTGTTGGCACATGATTGGTGTTCTGATCTCTTCGCATTATCGTGTCTGCTAGATCGATAAATTGCAAAGCACTCATGTTCCTATCCTCATTCGCCATTTCGTCCGACCCTATTCGTCTTTGCTTACTCTGCTCTGGAAAATAAGTCGATCGGTTTAGGTCAAAATTTTCGGGTCTGTCTCTCTTATTTCTTTTACTATTGCGGGTATTGTAGATCATGACCTATACCCAAAATTTATCTTCTCATTTGTTATCAATTGAATCTCGGACGAAACCTTTTCTTGTAAGTAAGTTTTAAATTCAGTTAACCTTTTTTTTTTAAATATGAAACATTTGCAACACAAATACTTTTTATAAATACATTCAATTACAATTACACATACAAATTTTCAAATTTGATAATTACAACATAGATCTACGGGGGAAGTGTAATTTTCAGAAGCAGTGTGTGTGTGGTTTTTTTTTATTTATTTATTTTTTTATTATTATTATTATTTTTTTTTTTTTTTTTTTTTTTTTTTTTTTTTTTTTTTTTTTTTTTTTTTAATAATAATTTTAGTGCCCTTTATGAGGTGTATGACTTTTCCCTTAGACATTCTTATACTTCTCATAAATTATAGTGCTTTGTTAACTTCGGACCCATGACATATCTATTACATTTCATAAATGAAAGCTCAGGGTTTTTATATGCAATACTAAGATTTTTGCATCTCTCAGATCAAAATCGCTATTGCTGCTACTCGATGTACTTATTCCTGTCTATAATTTATTTGGGTTATTTCACAAAAACAAATTTTAACAGTAGGATTCTCAATACAAATTGTTTTATTCCAGCTCGGAATTACAAGCTATTGATTACACCCTACTTAGAACAGTGGAGAAAACGTTCCCATAATATATTTGATATAGTAATATCGCACTTCGTAACCCATCTCTCTAAAGTTCGGATGCATACTAATATCACAGAATATTATTTGTCAAAAACATTTTCTTTTGTCTATTTAAAATCTACTAGCATTCTATGGCTGTGTGCGTCGATGTTACTGCACAGAGTTACTAACCTAATATCACAGTTTAACACGGCCATGTTTGAGTCGCCATTTTTGACAGTGGTATCAGGTACAATAAAGCTTTTTTTAGAATATTGGGCGCCATCTCTATTATGTGTGCATATGCTCGGCATACGATTAGGCCATCCGACTGTCACAGAGACTCCCAGGGCTAGGGATCTCAACCCGCCAATCGAATCCAACACACTAACATTGAAAGGGGACTTTACTACAATTGCTCTACTCTACGATATACAAAATAGGAGTCATCATACAGGGATCTCGGTGGATCGATCCCACACTCGCCCACCCTACCTGGATCCAGTATTTCCATTTCTTGCGTTTCTCTGAATCCCCTTGAACCACACGCTTTGAATCACACACTTACTTCATACCACCTTCCCCCCTCAAGTTATACAAATTTAGCAACACATATTAGTATCTACTGTTTACAAAAGAATCATTTTTAATTTTATTAAAAAAAAATAAGTTAGCTTTAAATATTTTCTTAATTTTTTTCTCTACTATTTTTTTTCTTACACTAAAATTGACAAACTGTATGGTATAAAAAAAAACAAATTAAGAATAATACCGGGCTTTCTTAAATCTATGGCTTTAATTACTCGGTAGAAACCAATATATTATCCTTTGCCTTGCTTTTCCCGCGCAATATTCACGCGTCTATACGAAATTACTAGCCACCTAAAAGAGCTCTCTTAACCGGCCTAATTGCCGCTAAAATTCCACGGCCTAAACTATCAGATCGAATCACAAGGACTCAAGATAATTTTACTGTAACACCTCCTAGCCTTTGAAAATAAACGCGGTATTTTTCCCTTACAAACTGATTATTACTTAAATCCTAAGAACTATAACCTATCTTATTACTAAATCTTTATACTGAATATTATATTTTTTTTCTCGAAATTTATGATTATTAACTCTTTTTTTCTTTTCTTTTAGTTCCAAAAAAGGAGACAGCAAATTTTATGGACGTCACATATATATATAAATATATCTATCAAGGACAACACAACGGTAAGACACCTTTTACCTGAGCAGTGATTTATAACGTTATTGATTAATTCTTCTTATCTCTTCTTCCAGTTTACGCTTCTTTCCGGAGGAAACAGATTTTGAACGCCAGGCAAACCCTGAAATGAAGCTGGACTTGTTGACTGGTCCTTTTACAATGCCGGCGTTCTGGGCGGGATCAATAACAGGCACAGCAAAAAGCTCAAAGTTGCAGCTGGCCAGTTTACAATTCAAATCTCCACACCCTCAATGTAACTTTTTTTGGCTTTTTTCTCCTGTGGACAACTTGCCACTACCTTGCGTTACCAAAAAGAAAAGGCAATTTCCCGCCGTTGTGCTGACCAAAACCGGACAATTTTCGGTGCTTCCAAAAAAGCTTGATACACCACCGGAATATTCCTGTTGGAGCAACACACATCACATATAACAACACATTACTCAACAAACCACTGTTACAAACTACTTACACAATAAAAAAATCGCAACACACAAATTAAATTTTTCCACTTCTTCACTGCTCTCTAGCTAAGTTTCACCGGTAACGTCTTATTCTTAACTTTGGCTTTTCTTATGCTCGCAGCCTTTTATACCCCTCTTCTCAGTGAATCCCGCCAGACGCTCATTTTCCACGAAACACCATTTTCCTGAGCCATTTTCAATTTTCATTCCTTTTTCTTTTCAACTGTCAATAGCCATTTTTTATTCTATTGTGAATTCTCATTTCAGCTCACCCCGGAGTAGTAGTAGGTTCCCACCTACTCAGCAATCATAGGGCTGCCTAGTCACTTCTTAGCCTGAGTCACCCTGTCATTCACTACCTTTATAATACTCTTTAACTCAACCCTGTTCGAGCCTAATTTCGTACGTAGCGAACCCTATCAAACCATTTCCGGCATTTTGATCCCATCGCCACCCAGACTACACACCCCGCAGAAATTACAAGCAAATTGAAATCTCGAAGCATCCTCACCATCCTCACTAAAAACCCAAGAAAACTGAGCAAATCCATTTGAGGACCAATTATGGGATGCACTACCAACAGAATTGGGATAATTTCTGCGGTGGTTGTGGACAGGTTTTGCCAAAAAACCCGGCCCCATATATTTGTTGCCTTTTTGCGCCGAATGTGAACGGCCTGCAACACCATATAACAGAATGTATAGGAAATATGCAAACTTTCTCAATTTTTTCGTTTTTTTTTTAATAAGAATTTTCAATTCCAAAAGGAATTCTGAAACAATTCTACACAAAGTTCCATATCATAATAGAATAGTAAATTTTTTCAGTTCCGCGATTTTTCTCAAAAATTTCTTTCATGACAACGATTCCATTGTAATTACAAATAAACAAAAGAAAATTTGAGTCAAATCGGCCCAACCATTCTCAACTGATGTGATACTATACTTCTTCAAATTTAAAGAAGTAGCGACTTTATTCACCGGAATTGTTTCAAATTTGGTATTTGAAATTCGTAATGGATACTACAGCCTATGACAGAAAATTATCTGTGCAGGCCCACGTTTTGGTATAGCCTCCATATAATGGTACCTCCCTATATTCGATATTTTGATAATTTTAGCTACATTATTAACCGATTTTTTGCAAGTTTCGCATTTCAATATTGTAATGGCTTGTGACAAAAGTTGCCTATGCATGTCCACGTCGTCGTATGGAACGTAATATAAGGCTACATTCCGTATTTTTTAGATTTTAATAGAATTTTTATCGGACCTTTGCCTTCTCATGTCGTCCACAGAAGTTCTTGGGTCGGCATTGTGGTTTGTCTAAATACTTTCCCATTACGCCTTATAAGGGGTCAACGAAGTATTCTTATCCATGGTCTAAATGCCTTGTAAACCTTGTTCTTAATTTTCAATTTAACGCTGATAGCTGTGGCTTGTGCAAACTACTTAAACGATTTGTCGACTATGTCCCCCAGATAGTTCCCCTTGACCTGGTCATTCAGCTGGGTTCACATCTCCGCAGACAAGGCAGGAAAGGGTGTGGCCGTGGACTTAGTGGCGGATATTTTCATATACCGCGAGATAGATTGTAGATAAAAATACTAATTCAAATTGTTTTTAAAGGCATTGTCCAATTTGAAGTTAAGAAAAGTTAGTTTTCAATTATTTTTCTACATTGACAAATTTTGGGTTCCAATTGTCCGACGCACATGTATATATTTTCAAAACTTTAAGTTTTTCTCGTCGTGGATGATATAAAATATTTATGTCCGAAAAATTCTCTTTTCTTTCGAATAAACACATTAAATATTAAATGAATTTATTGTAATTTCGATTACAATAACAAATGAATAAATATTTTCAAATATATGTTTATCTCTTTTCAGCCTATGGTACCTTTACCAACATCCAATTCCAGTGCTCAATATTTGAAAACGAAAAATAACTGCAACAATAACGGTGTCTCTTCGACAGCAACCAACAAGAATGGCAACAACAAGGCCAAAGATAAAAAATCGAATCAGAAAAACAATCGACCACGGCTGGAGTCGGAATCATCATCCGATGTGGATAATCACAAGAATGCTATGATGTTCGAAATGGACATGTAAAGCGCAACCCAAACTCCAAAATGATTTTCCAAAATTTATAAAACAAAAGCACCCACCAACTAACCATGGAGCAAACTAAAAATAAGTGGTACTCTACAAAATTTTGTATTGAATGGAAATTTGAAAAAGAAATCAAATCGTCGTGTTTCATCAGAACATATTAACAAACATACATACAAGCATACATACATCAATACACAATATATATCCATTTGAAATTGTTTACTTAGCTATTAGAGAAAGTAATTTTAATAATGTTATTACACACAGCAACAAATATTGTAGTAGGCTAGTATATAGTTATCCTAGTTTGAGAGTATTTAAAAGAAAACATCTAAATATTCATCATCTATAGGAAGAGTAATAATTGCCTTATAAGAAACAAATTATGTATTTGAATACAACAATAATACCTTAAAAACCCACACTAACATCAAGATGCATGCGTATATATATTGCTCAAAAAATATCCCCACAATCCCCTTGAATTTTTTTGTTAGCACATTTGGCCCTTTTAAACAATTTGTATATTTTTGTTTTCTATTTATTAAAAAAAGAAAGATAATTATATTAATTTGATTTCTGTTTGCCTTTCACACACACATAAATATATAACGGTTGTAGAAATTCCAAATATTATTTGCGAAACACAGCACTTTAAAAAAAGACTTTAAACATTTTATAAAAATTGTTAGAAACTTTAATTTTTTTGTTATCATATGTAATTATTATTTTTATTTTCTTCTCTAAGAAAAATCCAATATTGTTATAAAATTTAAAATTTTGTTAATTCTATTAAAAAATTAAAAAAAAAAACATACATTTACCCCACAAAAAAGAAAAACCTCTTGTGCATGCATGCCTCAAATATGAAATTTTTCAAAACGAAAATGAAATCAATTTGAGTTTACAAAAGAGAACGAACATGAATGTTTCTTCTGCTTGTTCTACACACGAAGTATATTTATATAAATAGGGTTCACTTCTATATTCATCAATTACAATTGTTCATATCAAACACATTTATATAAATTGTATGTACTCCTGTATGAGGAATCTTTTTTATTATTATTATTTCTAATGTTATGCCACATATACATACACACATATATATTGAAGTTATTCCTTACAAAAATATAGTATATACAACGTTTAATACTGTATCGATTGCATACGAAAGAAGAAACCTCAAGAGTTTTTTTTTATTAAAAATTATTATGTATGTACACTACTTTTTCCTTAATTGTGAATAAAACATTTTAAATGAAAATATCAATTTTGTATTATTAATACTTGCAAAATCAGGAAAGTAGAGAATTCCTTTAAATATATAGAGGTGAGATAAAAAAAACTGCAACAAAGTCAAAGGCCATAATTCTTACATTTTTTAAATTTTATTGAATAAAAGCAAAAAAATGTCGGAAATAAAATCAAATTTTAGAATAAGTTTTGATTTGTTCGAATTGGTCACCTTTGGCACGTATTATGGCCTTCAAACGGCCAATGAAAACATCACACACTGCCCGAATGTTGCTCTGCAGTATTTTGGCCCATTCCTGGCGAAGCGCTTGCTTGAGGTGATCGACACTATGGTATTTTTTAGTAGCAACCTTGCTTTCCAAAATAATTACTCTAGACACAATATTCCAACGGATTGGTATCAGGAGATTTTGGTGGTCATTGTGCGCTGGAAATGAAGCGAGGAACCTCATTTTGTAACCATTCTTGGGTAGCGCATGCTGCGTGCGATGGTACTGAGTCCTGTTGGAATGTCCAAGGTCTGCGGCCAAAATGTTTGCGAGCTCAAGGCTTTAATACACCCTCCAGAATATTTTCGTGATAATATTCGGCATTTATTCTGATGCCACAGTCGATTAATACGAGCGGAGAGCGACCATCGGCTGTTATGGCGGCCCACACCATCAGCATGGCCGGCGCTTGAGTTCTGGTGGCAAACCGAAGGTGCACATTTTCAGCTGACCTCTTTGGTAAGTAAACGCGATCACTTTGTTTGTCCAATCACACGGCGGCCGGTTCTATGTACCGGATTGACTCGGAGGTACAATTCTCCGACCAGGGGCCGCCACCCCGGCAAATACATGTTTGTGTTCGTCCATTTTTCTGATGTGGGAGCAGCATTACCCGGAATGTTTGCTCCGTATTCTTTTTGCCCGAGCCGGGATCGAGACCAACCCCGGAACATGGTTCTGCTCCGTTTGTCGTAATCGCATCCACCACAGATCGGTCTCGGTGAGATGCAACGGATGCATGGAGTGGGTGCATTTCCGGAATTGTTCCGGCTTAAACCGGATACAGGAGTACAGCGAAAGGGACTACATTGCTTCCTGCTGCGTCAATGTAGACCCCAGTGAGTCTTCATCGTCGTCGCAATATGAGACTCCCCCGCAATCTCCTCAACAGCAATTTACGCAGCATTTGACGCCACACATTGCTGTTCAAGTTCCGGATAATGCGTCATTTCTCCAGTTAAATTGTGAGGTAAGACTAACGAAATCGTAAGCTTCATGAGTCGGAAGAACATCAAGGTCGCAGCGATCCAGGAAACGAAGCTGAGTACAACCTGCAGGCTTCAAAGTTGTAATGGATACAACGTACTGAGGAAGGATCGCTCCAGGGGTGGAGGTGGAGGATTAGCTTTCCTATTGCACCACTCTGTCCAGTACAGACCTATCTCGCCTGAGCTTGACACTAGTGACCCAACATGGAATGTATGGGGGTAGCGGTCAAGTGTGGAACCGCCGAAGTAGAGTGCTCAACGTGTACATTCTGCCGTTTAATAGCTGTGCCCCACGTTATATGCCTATATCAGTTCACATCTGGTATGCAATAACCGTCTGGTGCTAGGGGATTTCAATGCCCATCATGAATTATGGCATTCCGTCCCAGCTTGTGGCACAGGCCCACATGACACGCTGCACCTATTTCGCTGCCAAGCTAAGCCTACTCACCTAACTCCAGTCTCGTTATGGACACAACCCATACAGGTTGCATCCTTTTTGAGACAGAAAAATGGAAACCGAACGAACATAGATGTATGAGCTGCTACAACAACAACTTTGTTTGTCCACTTCCGGTGAAGCGGAGCAACTCTTTAGCTCTTTTGCGTCTATCTTCTTTCTGTTGCGGTGTAAGTTCTTGCACTTTTGGGAATTTCAATGGCTTTACCCCGAGCTCATTTTTCAATATAAATGATGACTCGATTAAATAAACACGTCTTTCAAAAAACCTGATCCTATTTTTCAGTACGAGGTTTTAGTTTGATAGTTAAAAAACTAAATAATATAGCATATATATTAAAAAGTATACATTTAGTGTTTACCTCCAAAGTAGCCTAAACACACATTTTAAGTCAAATTGATTCGAAAATATAATCAAAACCCTCGAAATAGGTAAAAGCAGGAGGTACTTTTATATGAGCGCTACTCCGAAACATTGACATTGAATCATTTCCGCGAAGAGGTCTTCTACCTGAAGCTAGATGCCAAATAAGGGCAAAATCAATTAAAAAATGTGACCAAGACCCTGGTAATAGCTAAAATCACCGGATACCTTCACATAAGAGTTATAATGAATAATTAATTATTTGAAAGAATTTGTTTTTTATTCTAAAATCTCAAATTACCAACATTTGAGGAATTTGAAAGGGGCTATATCATTTGAGGGGGTCTATATCACAATGTAGACCAACCTGATACATATTTTGTTCAAATGATAGCTCATGTAACCCCTAGGACTGTATCAAATTTAAAACTTTATCGTAACTTCTGTATAAGTAACTTTGTGTATAAGTAAGCTATATAAAATGGACTATAAAAAAGTTAGATCCGGGAACCACTCTTTTGCGATTTTTATTTTTCAACCGAAAAAATTTCCCAAACCCAAGATTATCTGTGGCTCAGTGTAATTACTAACGATAGCGCATAGAGCCCGTATAACGTTACCTATGATTTAAGGTTACTTCTACTCCACTGTTTTGTAGTCCGCATTATTACGGTGCCTCTTCATATTCGGTATTTCACTGATCGAAGTCCCAATTAAATTTGCATTTTGAGTTCTCATTCGATGGATTATTTCCATATCTAATCAAAATGGAAAATTTGGGTATGGCAACCATATAACAGAATGTATAGGAAATATGCAAACTTTCTCAATTTTTTCGTTTTTTTTTTTTAATAAGAATTTTCAATTCCAAAAGGAATTCTGAAACAATTCTACACAAAGTTCCATATCATAATAGAATAGTAAATTTTTTCAGTTCCGCGATTTTTCTCAAAAATTTCTTTCATGACAACGATTCCATTGTAATTACAAATAAACAAAAGAAAATTTGAGTCAAATCGGCCCAACCATTCTCAACTGATGTGATACTATACTTCTTCAAATTTAAAGAAGTAGGTGTGGCCAGTTCCTCTGACCCCAAACAGATACCTTGGGTTGGAGGGAGAGAGTCAAGATTACGTCGTATAATAACTGTGGAACAGACATCTTCATGATTTTGGCAAATATTAGGATTTTAGATAAATCGAAAAAAAAATGGGCGTGGTCACTTTTTCTTTGTATAAAAACCTAAATCGGCAACGGGTTCTACGATACCGGATTGACCCGAAACAACAACATCCCAGGGCATTCCTCGCCCTACAGATTGAACAGCTCGCTGAGCTTACCTCGAATTTAACGGCTACACTCTTTACCACCTGATTTGCAGTAATGAGAACCGAATGTGCAGGTCGAGGAAAATATAATAGCGATCACGAGCCTACCCCAAAATTCTAAGGTTCACATTCGGTGTGGTCTGCGAACGTGAGTGCAATGCAATGGAAAAGTATTCACATCCGACAAAATGACGCATGTGTACCATTTACATGTGGAGATGACAATTCTTCCCCATAGTTCAGCATAATCATATGCTTTCGATGCAATACCTACATGGATGTTACCGCGGGAGTCATCCAAACCGTTATAGGGCTCAACAATTTTCAGAATCGTCTAAATTAGTACTGGTCGCCAATTTATAAAATTGTGCGGAACGTCTGCCCACCGTGTGATACAAGGGCGCATAATACGATGCATTTTTAATTGTCCTCCAAAGCGGTTCTACCTCCTTATTGTACCATGGGAAAAACTAATTGTTTTTTTTTCTTTTTAGAGTCTTTTATTAATTTTTTGCCTGGAAGTACTTTCGACAGAATTGTTCATAAATAGAACTCATGTATCATTTATGTTATTAAATTAATAGATGCATCTAATTATGAGGTCTCTTAGGATTGGGCGCCATGTCATTATATTTGATAGGACAAAATGCCTTCTGCCTTAAAAAGGGTTAGACTTAGTCGGCGATACTAATTACAGGTGCCTTTAAAAGCACACCGCAATCTGCACTTGACACCCTACTCAACTTAAAACCCTTAAGTCTTATTGTAGAAGAACAAGCTGCTAGGTGTGCCCTATGACTCAATGAACTCAATGGCGGAAAAATTTTCGATATCGAATCAGAGAATTTGGTCACTCCCCTGGTGGAAGCGGGTTCTGTTGAATTTCACGTTTTCGATGTCAGTTTTAAAGCATGTTGTGTTTTCTAGTAGTCGTCCGAATCGAAGTCGATTGTTAAAGATTAGGCTACCAATACAGTTCACCTCTTATAGATATTTCTTCAACGTGGTAGACATGGCGTCTCTACTGATTAGGACATAAAAGTCAGAATGAATCTGCTGGGAATTTAAGAAAACTTACAACAAAGTTTTTGTACCAGCAAAAATATTTTTTTTTTCATAAAAAATGTTACAATACAATTTCTTATAATAAATAATTTACAGCATGCATACATTTATATATTAAAAATCTAAGACTAAAATTTCTCTTTAATTAAATTACGAAAATGTACAATTTGTTGCAAATCACGACGTTTCACTTCCAAAACATACAACACCGGACAATCCAATGAGCTACATTTCAAATCACCAACTCGACCACAACATGCCTGACAAATGTGCTGCGTCGTCAGATATCCTTTTTCAATTTTGGACATTTTCGCTTGTAATATTATCATGGAACGTGTCGGATTGCCACAACAAACATCACATATTCCCTGTTTGGTGTGTCGGCCACAGTCCACCATACAATTGGTGGAGGAGAAGAATTGGGATATTGTACTTTTCTTTGATTTGCTATTGCCACAGGGTATGACCTCATTGGCCGATGACAGAGCTGGTGTCATAAGGATTTTACGTGGTAAATTTGCAAACCTTGAAGTCGAGGAGGAAGTAGAAGTAGATTATTATGTTAATAAGTTATCCTGCTAATAAACATACCATTCATTGACATCAGCTCCAATTAAAAGCAAACAACGATTTAAGGGCGGTATAATGGCCTTAGTTATATAATATATGCCATTTATTTTGAGACCCTCATCGGCCAGTACTTCATGCGGATGACGTATTAAACGAATCAATGGCACACCGGGTGGCCCATTGGTTATTATGAATGGGACACGTTCTCCGCGTCTCGGTATGCGACGAGGATCTGTCTGAATCCATTTTCTTTATATATCACAATAAAAACAATTTACAATTTTTAATAAGTTTCTCTTAATTTTACCAATAGTTCACTGTACCTTGTCAACTCCAGTGCAGGCACACAGGCATTGGCTTTATAGCCATTCATGCCTCTAAACTCCTTGGCAAAGATTAAATCTTGTATATTGGCACGTCCAGATAACAGTTTGGTAAATTGCCTGCAAACATATTGCTTCACTTGGCTAACGTCAGCGGTTTCGAAAAGTATTCGTAAAACTTTTTCCAACATCTGTCATACATAGGGAATGAAATATAGCTAAGCTTTCAAATGTTTTCCACTGCCTTACCTTTGCGACCATAGGACAGCCATCTCTTCGCACAGTTTCAATACCCTTTGCTTCATAGACGGGTTCTTCTTGATCGGGAGTTTCATACATATAACCCACATAACGTTTTTTAGTCTGGAATAAAATATACAAAAACAAGTAAGCAAAGGCTAGAGTCATGCGGGGCCAACCACGTAATACCCTACAGCACTACAATATGTTGGAAGCCCCTTATACCCAATTTCATTTTGGAAGATTTCGTTTTTGAAATAATGTCATAGAGCCCTGCCCAGATGGGTTTTAACCGGGGACATTTACCCAATATTTATGCACTACGTCATGTTGTTAGGTATTCGAAACAATTTCACACGAAAGTTGTGGTCCAACTTACAGTTAAATATAATCCAATGGTCATCCAAAATGCTAGACTTCTTCCCTATCCTTAACTCTCTTCTGATGCAAAATACCGTTTCGATTAGTTTTCAATTGTGGCCTATAGAGCGACTACAAAACAAAATTAGAAAAATTTTAATTTTTGTAGTCCATTTGAACCCCTAAATGTACATCTTAAGAACAATAGGCTTTAAATCTGACCCTAACCCTACCCCCATGCAAAATTTCGTGAGGATCGGACGATAATTGCGAACTGTATATAATACCCTCAAAACGTAATGTTGCAGGGTGTAGAAAAAATTTAGAAAATTTACAATTCAAAATTGAAAATCAAATTGAAAAAATCGCATGCGATAAAAAATATGATAAAATTTGAAAAAAAAAGTGGAACAAAAGATTGTCACTTTTTTATTGGTATATTTTTCTAAGATTTTATCCTTTTCGAATAGATGGGAGTTGTGAAAATCGGCCCTGGGGTTCTTAGCTTATAAGGAGAATAACTAAGATCTCTTTCTTTTACATTTACAGGTGGAGATAAAAATAAAAACTGCAACAAAGTCAAAAGCCATAATTTTTACATTTTTTTGAATTTCATTGAATGAAAGCAAAAAATGTCGGAAATAGCATCAAATTATGTCCTGTTGGAATGTCCAAGGTCTGCGGCCAAAATGTCTGCATGCCCAAGGCTTTAATACACCGTCCACAATATTTTCGCGATAATATTCGGTATTTATTCTGATGCCACGGTCGATTAATACGAGCGGAGAGCGACCATCGGCTGTTATGGCAGCCCATACCATCACCGTGGCCGGCGCTTGAGTTCTGTGGGCCAACCGAAGGCGCACATTTTCAGCTGACCTATTTGGCAAGTAAATACGATCATATTGTTTGTTTGCAAACTGCTGGACAACGAATGTTTTCTCATCGGAGAAACCCAAATTCGGCAGTCACCACTTTCGGCCAAGCGAAGCAACTCTTTAGCTCTTTTGAGTCTTTTTTTTCGGTGGAATTTTAATGGCTATACCCCGAGTTCATTTTTCAATATTTGCGATATGTTCAGCTCACGAGCCATTTTTCGGCCACTGCGACGCGGGTTTCGATCAAATCCCTTCTTTACTTTTCGAACCATTTCTGCGGATGTTGCTGTTTTCTTCCCTCCACTTCCTTGACGTCGGGCTACGCTGCAAGGATCACGGTAACGAGCGATGGTACGAGACACAAAATGTTTAATTAACATTTAACATTTCCGTTGCGGTGGAATTTTAATGGCTATACCCCGAGTTCATTTTTAATATTTGCGATATGTTGAGCTCACGAGCCATTTTTCGGCCACTGCGACGCGGGTTTCGATCAAATCGCTTCTTTACTTTTCGAACCATTTCTGCTGATGTTGCTGTTTTCTTCCGTCCACTTCCTTGACGTCGGGCTACGCTAAAAGCATCACGGTAACGAGCGATGGTACGAGACACAAAACATTTAATTAACATTTAAATGCTGAGTGGAGAGAGTGGTTTTTCCAGCTAAATATAAAGAAATCACACTATCACGCTTGAATTCCATCACAAATAACTTTTTTCTGGAAAATTCTCACAAAAATGCTTTTGTACGCTTGTAAACAATATTAAGAGCTGTCACTGGATTAATTTTAACAGCTGTCGGATGAGTGGCTTAGAAATGTAAAAAATTGTTGCAGGTTTCAGTTTCTTCATCTCACCCTGTATACTGTATCTATTTTGCTACATATCCGATATCTTGGCTATTAGCATCACTGTATTGGCCAGAAGTGACCTTTTAATGTATTGTGATTTGGCTGTGATTAAAAATATTCGCGGTTAAGTCCAATTTTCCTATTTTCTTACATAACAGTCCTAAACTCAACTGCAAAAATCAGCAAAATTTCCTGTTTTTGGTCCATTTCAACCCCTAAATATTTTGCAATCATCTCCAAAACTAAAGGGTTCTAACCCCACCTAAATTTTCAATTTTGTGAGGATCGTGTCATAATTGTGACCTGTAGCTTGATTATAAATTAACATGGACAGATGGACGGTCGGGCATACATAACTAGATCGACTCAGCTCGGCGAGATAGAAAGATCCATACATACTTTCCTATGTCGGAGACCAATATTTCGAGGTGTTATATAATTTTTGGCTCAATCAAACTTATAATACCCCCAACACACAGTGTTGTAAGGTATAAAAATAATTGCCAAACATTCATTCTTTCCAAACACCATCAGATTAGAAAGCCATTTTTGAACATTTCTTCACACTCTTACCTGCAGTATACACGGCTGATAAACCTTTTCCAATTTCAATTTTACGGGATGGGGATTCTGTTTTGTTATCGCATCGGCAATTTCTTCACCAATACGAAAAGCTTCCTCGCGATTGCGACCAGGTACCAAAACGAAAAGAGAATCGGTGTCACCATAGACAACCTTAACATTCCACTTTTCATTGGCTTCAACCGTTTTAATTGCCCTCTCCAATGTTTCACGGCCTTTAGCCACCACCGAATCGCCCACCTCTACGCAAGGCATGCGACCACTAAAATTTGCTGCCGTATAACCGTAGGTGACATTTGCCATCAGTTTTAAGCCCAATTGACGCGAATGAAGGATGCGCTGCAATGCTGAATTGGTTTTGTGTAACTTCATGGATTGTTTTACCATTTGACGCGTGTCTAGAATTTCGGTCAGCATTCTGGGTAGAATGCCTTCACGTACGGACGACTTGACAAAGACCACACCGCATGGAGAGATTGTGATGAGATCAGAATCCACCAGTTTACGCAGCATTGTGGGTGAGACACGCAGCTGGGAGGCACCAAATTCAAATGGGGTTGATCTGAAAAGTTGATAACATTTAAAGTAAACTTAGTTTGTGGGTAATGAAAAGAGAAAAGCCTATTTACATTCCCAAATGTTCCACACGTCCCAGGCAAGTTGAAAAACAGTAATTATAACCAATTATCATGCTGGGGTATAAACTTTGAAAATCCAAAACAATCAGGGGATCCGCATAGAATCTAGACTGGGGCTCTAAAATTAAGGGTAAATACTCTGGCGCCCTCATATGGGCTCTTTGTTGAACGCTGGGCGATGCGGGCACCAAATTTTTGGGTTTAGCTATTCTGTAATTAAGTAATGAAAATATTACCTCTAAATGATTTATTATTGGCAAATGAAAGCCTACCTCAACATCATACTCTCCACACGAAATTGTGAACCTCTCGACAGGACTTCATAGAATTGTATGCCAATCAATTTTGCCATTTCACTGGTGCGTCCAATCAAATCCAATTGATCCAATAATGCCAGCGTACCTCTTACCCTTTCCAAATAGTATTCCAAAACAATCCAACGTGATCCGGGTGAAAAATACCATTCCGTCAACGAACGATAACTATGGCAGGGGCAACGTTTGTGCAATATGTGATACATGACATTTTCAAAGGTATAGGAAGTGAGGGCTATCTCGGAACGCATGAGCCGCCAGACATCCAATAGAATGCGGCCACACAGTTTCATCTAAAATGCAGATATTGTTGTACATCTGCTATTCATAAAGCGAATATTGTTCCTACCTCCACATCCAAATCGGTAAACGAATCCCGATCTTCATCAACAAATTCCCTAGTCTTTTGGGTGGGAACTCGTGACAGCAGAGGTGCAATATTTAAACATAAATACTTGGCCCGATCAATAATATAACCCCAAGAGGACATTTCAATTTCATAGCCGGCGTAAATATCGGGATCCCAACGTGAACATAGGCCCAATAGAGCTTCCAACGCTTCAACTTCATTGTTAACAATTGTGACTTCAATATCTTCATCCAGTCCATGGATATGACCCTCTTTCGTTACCTTATCACGGGGATCATGTACCATAATGTAACCACAAGATTTCCTAGGCAATTTCTTTGCGTCATCAATGTGATCACTGGGAATGCTATTTTCAATGGCGTAGAATATACAGCGTATTTCATCGATTTGGGGATTTGGAAAGAAATCCTCACGAGTGGCCACAAATAGTTCCAAGGTAACCGTGGTTAGGTAATTGAACTGAAATTGGAAAAGTATTGTTTAATATAAATTGTTGCAAAGAAATACAGAACATAGTTCAGGGCAGACTGACACTTATTTATTGGCAAAAATAACAAAGTGCGGTAAGTTGAAACAGGTTAGGTTTAACGATGCACAGCAGCATGTTTCACACGGAGACCTTTGGACAATTGTGTTTATCTCAGAAACAGTGGTGATAGGAAAGGGAACGTTATAGAAGAGAACAAGCTAAAAATCAGCCAAGTTCAGCCGGCTCAAATTTTTATACTCTCCACCATTCGGAAGGAACTTGAACATTTTCTAAAAAAAAAATCTGCCGAAAAATACAGCTCAAATGAAAACCTTTGTATGGAAGCTATACAAAGGGGTGGTGCTGCATAAGTAATTTTTTGTCATAGGCTGTAGTAACGATTCCGAACTTTAGATACGAAATTTGAAACAGTTCTGGTGAATACTGTCGCTATATCATCAAAATACCTAATAAAGGGAGGTACCATTGTATGGGTGTAATAGAAAGATTCAAATACCAAATGTGAAACAATTCCGGAGAATAATGTCGCTTAAATCACCGAAATACCGTAAATAGGGAGGTACCACTATACGATGACGTGGACCTGCACAGATAATTTTCTGAGATAGGCTGTAGACAGACGGACATCACTAAATCGACACAGAATTTTATGTTGATCAATAATAGATATACTTTGTGGGGTCTAAAATTACAAAACTTAATAAACCCTCCATACTATGGTGGAGGGTATAAAAAGAAAGGTAGGTTAGTGGAGGTGTATTACTAGTAGGGTTTGGTTAGGTAAGAGCTACTTTTGGCAAACGTAAGTATAATGAGAAGAACGTTAGGGCGGTCAGATATGTGATGCTGTAGCTGCCAGTCAGTATGCCCATCGCTTAAATCAGACCTGTTAATCGATAGAAGGGTGCAGGATCTTCTTCTCGAGATTGCTAGATGTTATGCAAGCATCTTCGGTGACAGTCATCTTGAAACAACTTATATTTGCTTATCGGTGGTTTAACAGTCTCATCAATTGGTAGATTAATTGACTGGAAACTACTGCGAGCTTATTTATCAGTCATTTCGTCATCTATATCTATAAAAGAGGAAAATGTTTGTATGTTTGTTTGTTTGTTTGTTTGTTTGTTTGTTTGTTTGTTTGTTTGTTTGTAATTTATGGACTCGAAAACCGCTGAATAGATTTTCCTGAAAATTTCCATATATACTGCAACATCGCCTGAAAGTAACATAGGCTATATACATTTTTGAATTTCCACTTGGAACTGGAGATATAGCATCAGAATCGGAGATACCTCCCAAAAATTTAGATTTTATATGCACATATCTATTGATTGGTTGAAGATACAGTCTCCAAATTTGGAATACGTAACGGAATTTGGAACAAAAATAAGTTTGTCAAATTATATTGTAATCGGTTCAGATTTGGATATAGCTCCCATATATATTTTCGACCGATTTCGTTCATTTGATGCCTCAAACACAATATGAATGTTCGATTCCAATGAAATTTGGAATGTGTGACGGGATTTAATCCGAAAATAAATTTGTCAAATTATATTGAAATCGGTTCAGATTTGGATATAGCTCCCATATATATTTTCGGCCGATTTCAGGCATTTGATGCACCAAACACGCTATGTATACCCAATTTCAATGAAATTTGAAACGTGTGATAGATTTTATCTAAAAAATTGATTTCCCAAATTATATTGAAATCGGTTCAGATTTGGATATAGCTCCCATATACATTTTCGGCCGATTTCATGTATTTGGTGGACCAAACTCGATATGTATTTCCAATTGTAATGAAATTTAAAATAAGTAACGGAATTGGGAGCCAAAATGAATTTGTCAAATTAAATTGAAATCGGTTCAGATTTGGATATAGCTCCCATATATATTTTCGACCGATTTCATGTATTTGATGCACCAAACACGCTATGTATCTCTAATTTCAATGAAATTTGGAATGTGTAGCGGAAATTAAAACAAATATACATTTGTCAAATTATATTAAAATCGGTTCAGATTTGGATATAACTCTCATATATATTTTCGACCGATTTCATGTATTTTATGCACCATACACGATATGTATGTTCGATTCCAAAGAAATTTGGAATATGTAACGGGATTTTGATTAGAAAATAAATTAGTCAAATTATATTAAAATCGGTTCAGATTTGGATATAGCTCCAAAATATATATTCTCCGCCGATTTCACATATTTGATGCACAAAACACGATACGTATATCCGATTCCAACGAAATTCGGCATGAGTGGCTAAATTTGGTACAAAAATAAATTTGAAAATTATATTCAAATACGCTCAGATGTGATTATAGCTCCCATATATATACTCAGCCGATTTCACATATTTGATGCACCCAAAGCGAGAAAGACAAAATCTGGCACCAGCAAAAATTGCCAAATTATATTGAAATCAGTTGAGGTTTGGATATAGCTAACATATACATTTCGGCAGATTTCATACATATTATGCACCAAACACGATATATATGACCGATTCCAATGAAATTCAGAATGTGTGGCGGAATTTGGTTATAATAATAAATGTGATGATGTCGAAATTAGTTAAGATTTGGATATAGCACCCATATATATATATATATATATATATATATATATATATATATATATATATATATATATATATATATATATATATATATTCTCGACCGATTTCACATATTTGACGCACCAATTTCAATGAAATATGAAAGGTGTGGCGGAGTTTGGTGTAAAAGTAATTTTTTTAAAATTATATTTAAATCGGATCAGATTGGGATATGATTTTAATAAGAACCATTGACCCACAACGCCTTAGGCTAACACTAAAAAAGAACACAACAATTTATTTGAAATACGCTTATTACGGCGAAGTATGTTGCTATCTCGAATTCACTAATTGCAATAGAAATGCCACTCTACTTAAAAAAAATTGCAGTTTCCTGCAGGCTTGGTATTTGCTATGAAATAAATAAATCCAAAGGACAAACCCTTCGTGTATGCATGTCATGTTACTGCTTTTGTAATGATTTTGTTTATTAACGCATTAAATTAGTGCAATATTTTTTTTTTTAATTTTTAAATTTGTTTTTCTTTATCCAACATATATTGGTAAATAAAATTTTGAATGCATATAAAATCAAAAGGGGTAGCGAAGCGCACCGGGTTCAGCTAGTTCACTATATTGCTGTGTTCAACAAAGCGTAATGAATTCAGTTATCTCAAAGAGGACTTTCTGGCAATCAGATATGACTCTCGATTCAATGGCACTTGACTTGAAAGATTTAAGGGCGGTGCTGACTCGGATAGTTACTAACCCTAAAATGTTATTAGAAGGTTCCGTATTGGCAGCCTCCTCCTCTCCTCCGCCTGAACAGCGCTGTAATTGTCATTAAGTTTATAGGAGCATTTAATATTTAGATTAGTTTTGAATACTCCAACACGGATACCATCATGCATCTTGGATCATGAATAGCCAGACCGTCCCCCTGCGTGGAGCATAGTTGATTGCTATCGAACATGTCCACAGGTTGCGAATAGTGGAAGGCCCAGTGCATATACTGGGTAACTGCGAAATAAATAAGCAGTCACGGACAGTCAGCGGGCCTGGGGGAAGATTCTCGGCTTAAATATCCAAGTGCCAATGATGATGAAATAAGGGTAGCACTCCAATATGGACTTCTTTGTTATTAGCAATTAAAAGGTATTTGAAAAGTGTTCCTTCTCAGACTGCAATATGCTATTCTTCCTGGTGACTAAATGTCAGAAATTTTATAGGAACCCAAAAAGGACAGACTCGCAAAAATTTAAATCCCTTAAGACAGAGTTGAAAAAGGACTCTAGCCGTCTGAAATCAACCAACGATGTCGAGAGAGCGGTTAATGTAGTCACAACTGTCCTTTCAAGCTATGTGAAATCTTGTTCTTTATATAAATATTTAGAGGTCGATGCCCCGCTAAAGCCTTTGGTAAAAGAAAAAGTTGCCAGATACACATAATCAAACTAGCCATTATGAAGCCTATTATTAGCTCAGAGAACTACAAGTTACAAAATAAATTTTACTTACCTCAATATCTGCCTTGGCTTGTTGTAGATTTTCTAAAGCCACTTTAAAGCCATAGCTACTATTAAATGTTGTATCATTACTATGGCCACTACCGCCACCAGTTGTTATATCATGGACGTTTAGTTGGCGCAAAAACGAAGAACGTTCCAACTCGGCTAAGGCAGTTTGACTGGATACACTGGATTCGCTGTTCTGCGAAGAATGTGGCAGAATACTTTCATCGGCGCACGTGGGCACAACATCCTTGTCCTTTACATCTTCTTGATACGTAGTGGCATTGGGGGGGTTATGTTTCTCCATGGCTTCTTGCATTTTTTTATTCAATGAAACCCGTCTCAGTACACGTCTATTGTGTCGTCTTCTTGTTAATGGATTAACACGTTCCAATGGTATTTTTTCCAATTTTGTAGTGACCGGAGTAAAACTTTTGTTTATTTCGCGATTTATTTGGGATTGTTCTTTGACTACGGGCGTTCCGGGGGTTAAAGGTGTTAGAGTTAGACTCATGGAAGAACAATTTAAACTAGTGTCACTATCATTGTCACCATCACTGCCACCGGCATTCAACATCATTGTAACCTTTTGTCGCCTCACTTTAATTGGACTATCTTCTTCGGCGGCTAAATTGTGCATTTTCTCTTTTGCGTCTTCTTCCTTGAGATTTCCTTTTAGTTTTAACAACTCTCGCGCTTTGAGCCAAAGTTTTGCATCCTGTCTAGAGGGCGCCGACATTTGTGGTTCAATGGCTACAGTTGTTTGATTGGCAAAATATTCCCTGACGCGCTGGGAGTTGCGATATCGAGTCAACATTTCTGGTCCACCCAAACGCATCAACTGTTGTCGTCTCCATAGAGTAAGACCCTTTACATCACTACCCAAAATACTTTGAAATTCTTCCAGATCATTGAGTTTATTGCTATTAATTTGTAGAATTGTAAAACCAATTTCTTTGTGTTTGGTAACATCATCTGGATTACTGTAGAACGGCTTCTGAAATTCATATTCTGGTAATTTGAGTTTTTCACAACCTTTCAAAACCTCCTCTCTTGTGGGTGGTAAATCAAGTGGGGTCAAGATAACCTCTGAATCTAGAGGTGGAGAATCGTGGCTATTGCTTTCATAGGATGAAATTATTTGAATGTTATTATCCTCGTAGGAATTGCCTGAATGTTTGTTTTGCAATAAAGAACTTGGACTTGAATTTTGAGTAAACAACGAGGGACTGTTTTCATAAAATGTTAAAATTTTGTTGGTTTTGATATGGTTTTCTATGGGTGGACTTGGGGTTTCGATGATTTCATCCTCCGAACTTTGAGAGAAAAACTGAATTGACGGAGATTTGGAATGTTGGATATTTGTGGATTGGGGTTTATCGGAGTCTTCGGTTGCCATTGGTTTTCCCAGACTCTCACCAAGAGCAGATAATTTAAGAAGTGCATTGAATAAATTCTTATTTCCGGAAAATCCCAATGACGCTGAAGATATTTGGGAATCTTCCGATAAGTGTTTTGACATAATATGCAGGTCTTTAGAATCTTCATTTGGTCTTAACTGGATATCCTCTGTTAGAGTCCTTAGAGTGAATCGATCATTTGAATTAGTTTGCTTGTTATTTGCATCGTTATTACCTCCATCTGTTGTTTTTAAGCCTACAGACGGTTGTGCTATATCGCTTTCCAAAACAGTTATATTCTTCACGAAACTCTGATTGTTATCATCAACTATCAGACTTCTGTCATCGTCCCATTCATCTACAACATCTATCATAGATGTTTCCCTTGAACGTTCAATGGTTTTGAATGTTTCCTCCGAATCACCACTTGTTTCGAATCTTAAATGTTCCATAGTACTTGAGGTGTCGTTGTGCTTCTCATTATCACTTGTTGGTTGGCATTCTTCTGGTTGTGTTTCTGTGGTCTTCTCTTTCATATTGTCTGCTTCAATTGGATATTCATTGTTATTTCCTTCTTGTAAACATTCTGTAGGTTCTTGTAGGGCAGATTTATATTGTGAAGCCTCATTTGTAGTTTGAATTTTATTTAATGGTTCCTCTATTGTACTGGCTTCTACACTGCTGTTTTTAATGGAAAATTTACTGACGGGACTTTTGTGTTGCATTGTACTAAAAGTATCACAACGTTTCCCTTTATTAGCTGCAGTTTCAATTCCAGCCGACTTTTCTTGCATCGTACCGTCTACTTCTTTGTTATCCTTTGCATGTACAGAATCTTGTTTATTCTTCAAGTTTGCTGGCTTGGAATATACCTCTGAGACTTTTTGAATTCGTATGCCACAGTTTTGTAATACATGATTTAGAAGAGATTCTCCATTGATTTCTGTTTCATTTGATATTTCCAAATTTTGTAATTTAAAGTCTGGATTTTCAATAACTTCTTTTGGAATAACATTCTCTTGTTTTTCTCCTCTTAAATTTGCAGACACTTTTTGACGTACTCTTTTCAAACGTACACGACATTTCCTTCTTGGCGTAGGAATAGTATCAACCTTTTCTGCCATCCCTAACTTTTGACAATATTTATGCTGAGTGTTTTTAATCAAATGATCCTTAGCATGGTTATTTAAATTTTCACATCGATCCTCGCTCCCTTTCTCTGTTAAAGACTTTAACATGTGTTCATTATTCTTTACTTTAGCTCCATTCTCTAAATTAGCTGAATTAATTTTATGATTTTTTAAATTATCTCTTTCGCTATTCATGGCATTTGAATTCTCCAAATGGGTGGCAATTACCTCACCATTTTCACAAGTTATTTTGAGTCTTTTAGCCAAGCGTGATGTGCTAAGAAAACTACGTCTTAGACGTTTTAAGTTCGGTGTTTTTCGATACTGAAATGAAGGATTGTCAGCCTCATCATCGGACTCAATAACCTCATCATTATCTTCATCCACATTGTCTTGGTTAGCAGATGGAATGGTGTCCTTAAAAAGTGTGGTAATACTACTTCCTTCGTGATTTGAAAGTGCCTTCTCAATATCGTTTTTATTCGTTTGTACTTTCTGTTTCCTACTTTTGAAAATTTCAATATTTCCACCACTTACGTCCTCTTGTTTTTGGGATCTTGAATTAATTTCATTGATTTCATTTTCAGAATGTTCCTGAATTTGCCCTATTTGTTCATTACCTTCTACACTGTACACTCGCAGCAATTTCTCATTGGTTCTTCGTGGAGTCAGATTACATGTAACATGAGTTTTATCCAAATTTCTTTTCGAACGTCTTCGATTGACACTGAAATGAAAATAAATGTAATTCATTGAGTGCGCATTATTGCGAATAAGATATCCAAAACGATTGACAAGATATTTCAATTGAGGAAAAAATCACATCATATTTTATTTGACAACTTACTTGGCAGTTTCCTCAACGACAGGGAATTCAAACACGTTTTCTTGCTCTGATGACTCCACAGAAATACTCTTGCGCCTTAATTCGGTCATTGCCACTCGTCTGCGCAATGAAATCCTGCAAGAAAATATTTTTAAAATATTTAAAGACTAATCTGACTCAATATAACTTAAATGCACCGAAACTCTTCTTGCTCGTCAGCTGAAAAATCTTGTTCAAGAGTAATGCATACTTCGATAAGTATAAAAGCAAAACAAGTAAAAAAGCTGTAAGCTCGGTCAGACCGAACTTTGAATACCCTCCACCATTTGGAAAGAATTTGGAAATTTTCAAAAACCATAAAATACGTTAAAAATTCTGTTAAAATCTTAAAAATACCAAATGTTCCCGATATACAAGGGTCTATACGAAAAAAATGCGACAAAAATTCGGTGAATAATGCAGTTAAAATCATCAAAATACCGAATATAGGGAGGAACCATTCTGCCTTAGGCTGTAGTATCCATTACGAACTTTAAATTCCAAATTTGAAACATTTGCTGTTAATAAGGTCGCTAGAATCATCAAAATACCGAATATCGGGAGGTACAGTTGTATGGAGGCTATACGAAAACGTGGACCTGCATAGACAATTTTCTGTCATAGGCTGTAGTATCCATTACGAACTTCAATTACCAAATTTGAAACATTTCCGGTGAATAATGTCGTTTAAATCACCAAAATACCGAAAATAGGGAGGTACCTTTATATGGGGGCTATACGAAGATGTGGACCTGCACAGACAATTTTCTGTCTTAGGCTGTAGTATCCAGTACGAACTTCAAATACCAAATTTTAAAAAATTCCAGTGAATTATGTGGCTAAAATCATTAATTTCGGGGGTAACGTTGTATGGGTAATATACGAAGACGTGGACCTGCACAGAAAATTTTCTGTCTTAGCCTATAGTATCCATTACGAACTTCAAATACCAAATTTGAAACAATTCCGGTGAATAATGTCCTTTAAATCACCAAAACACCGAAAATAGGGAGGTTCCATTATATTGGGGCTATACCAAAACGTGATTTCCAAAGACGGACGGACATCGCTAAATCGACATAGAATTTTATGCTGATCACGAATATATAGACTTTGTGGGGTCTAAAATGCATATTTCGAGGTATTACAAATGGAATGACAAACTTAATATATCCTCCATACTATGGTGGAGGGTATAATAAAAAATGGTAACATTAAGTCAGCTTTTTTTTTGCTTACATACCTTTCTTTTCTTTCACAGCTATTTATTATTCCTAGAATGAACACAATGGAACAAAGGTCTCCGAGTGCGTAGCAGCGCATTCTTAAATCTAACATGTTAAACCTAACTATAATGCGATGAACAGGTAGCTCAGAGATTCTGGATGAACGACTTTTTAAAATCAGAATGGAATAAAGTTTTCTACAGATGGTAAGTACTTCGATGGAATTGTAGTCAAACGACTAAAGTAGAAGATAAATATGAAGGCAAATAGGAGAAGAAGCTGCGGTCTTAATGGCTTAAATTTGGTTGTTATCTAAAATCCTAAAACGAATTTTCGATATAAAAACTCCTCGCCTTTAGGGGATTTTCAGAGAATCACATCCTATGACCCTTATGTGTGTTAACGACGTCTAGCAAAAAACATTTCATAGCGTTTCAAGTGCCATCTACACGTCACATTGAGATATTGTACTGTATTCGCCATTACTAAAAAAGTACTGTACATTTTGTAATGTCATAACGTTATATTTCGTCAATAGATGTCGTTGGCATTTTTGAAATATCTTCACGCCGACTTCAACACAATCTATAACTGAAAATTGTAATTTCGTCCAGTTTACCCGGTGTCGAAAACTGTTGATATGTACCAGTCTTGTACAAAGGTTCTTATAATGAAACTCCTTTTACGCCTAACTAGGGTCAACCTCATATATTTCACTAATTTTTAAATCGTTCATTTGAGGAAAAAAATATAAAATAAAAAACTTACAAATTCTTTGATTTCTCCGCAACCGATGATAAAGAAGAAGCTTCGGCATCAGGATTTGTTACTGTTTCTAAAATAAAAAGGCATAACACATTTCAGATCTCTACAATTTCTCGCCTTCCATTATAAACTTACGCTTCCCTGTCGAACGATTGGTAATAACCAAGGGCAACGGTTTGTATTTATGACCACTTTTGGGTGTTCTCGGCGAACGAGATGGCGATGCGGCGCCAAGTGTATGTCGTCTTTGTGGCGTAGTTGGGGTACGTGGTGGTGTTTTAGCTGCGGCTATATTTTTTGTACTTTTACTTGGTGTTTTAAGTATATCATCAGAACCATCGTTTTGTGGTAAAGATGTTTGTATCGTTCTTTCTGTTGATGTTTGTGTCAATTTCAAAATGAGATCATCCAAATCGTCAAGGGCAACAGAAAAATCATGTAGATTATCATCGGTGTCATCGGTTTTATTTAAATCATCATCACAGTGAGATTTCTCCAATACTGCTGCGGCGGCGGTCTCTTTGTCTAATAGCTCGGGAGACAGGGCAACTAAATGGGGGTGGTTTTGAAATGTAAATGTGGGATTCTTTGCGTGAATTTTCCTAGAAACTTACACTCCTTTTGATTTTGTGATAACGGAGCCAAACTGCTATCCAAATCTATCTTTTCACTGTTATTATCCTCTTCTAACTGTTGTAAGATATTCAACAACTCCACGTCTTCCTCTCGTACTGCAAAAATTACAAAAAGATAACAATTTATTAAACCATTTATGTATATTGCCTCAGTCCGCCAACACACTACTTACATGTTGCATTATGTGGAACATGCTGCTGTGATTGTGTTAAACTTAATACCAACTCTTCATCCACTATGGTTTCATCCATGAATATACTTTCATCTTCTGATAGTTTTTCACTATCGGCTCTTGTTAAATCCAACAATTCTTTGTTCGAAATACTTTGTTGAAAAACATTGTTATTGGACAAATGATTCTCCACAAAGGAAGCATTTATTAAATTCTCACTTCCATCGGAGCATTCTTCGGGATAAACAGCATTTTCCATCATTTTTGTAAGATTAAATGTGCGCTTTTGTTGTCTTGTTAAATTGAGGCTAGTGTTCATGGTCATATTTGAGACATTCGATTGTTGTGTACAATTTATGGTTTGATCAGTTAATTGAGTGGTTTCCAATATGGAATTCTCTAACGCTATTAGTTTACTAACTAAGGCAGTACGATAGAATACTTCGCTTTCAGTGGGATATGCAATGGGACGCTCTTGTGTTGGTGGGACTTCAAGGGCAGGAATCTGCAAACAAGATATTGCATTTTAAAACAAATAATTGTATTTTAATCTTATCACATTACCCCTTTCAATTTCTCTTCATCATCCTTAAAAGTCTCAAACAATTTTTCTCTACGTAACTTCTCATCGTTCCAAATAGATTCTATTCCCGGATTGGAATGTAAGGAATTCTTGCCTTTTGTAACAAGCTGAAAACGATTCAAAATAAAACTTGAACCAATGTCACATTCAAGACTACAGCATGAAATCTTTTTGGCAATATCACAGTCTAAAAGCTGAGCCTCACTGATTGCCTTAACCGCTACACTTTCAGAATTGTCTGATCGACGAAATTTTACAACTTCCAATGGAACATGAATCATACTCATGCCATATAGATTATAATCAATCATAAATTGTAAAATATATGGTACGTGAGCTTCATGTGGATGGAAATGTTTGTTCATAATGGCTCCATTTTGTAATAGATTAGCTGCTCGCCGCACAAAACGAGGATTAAACATGTGAATCTTTAGGTATTGATGCTCTGAACGATGATAGCCATAAAATGGTCTGTATAAATGTAACAATTTATAAAAATTACCGAAGATATAAAAATAATTAATACTTACATGCCCTTAACCAATTGCACCTTGAAAACATGCTGAACATTCGAGCTCCCTTGGCTCAGAGATATATTTATGGCCTTATCCAAATTCATTGCTATTTGATATATTGCCTTATTAACCGACTCGAAATCTTTTTGGTCATAGGGCACATAGAAGTAGGGGAATACGCCATGGACATGCATACAAGTCTTTTGACCCTGGGCATTTGAACCAAATATGCGTATAATGGGAACCTATGGGCGGAGAAGGACAAATAATACTTTTAAATTATGACACGCTTTTTCCGAATCATATCAAGGACTTGTTTGGGTATATTTAGGTGCAGGATGAACCAAAAATCTCAACCGGCCTTAAAATGTTATGGTAAAAACTTGCTGCCAAAAATGTCACCTTAGTTCATAAGTATTTGAATGTACATTGGAACACACAAATACATAGTTTCTAGAATTTACATTCTAAAAGGATTGCTCCTCATTTATCCCAAGTCACACTGCTTTTCCTACCAACCTTTTTGATCTCTTTGCCGCGAAATTCCGAATAGACAGGATCCAAGCCAGGCACTGGTTTCTCCATGTAAAAGTCGGCAATAACCAGACGTAGTGAGAATATTCCATCATTTGAAGACATATTCATTCAATATTTAGATTAACAAAATAATAAAATTGTGAAATTCCTCGAAGACATGGTCTAAAACATGAGAAACAATCAGTGTTTATTTACATTGCTTCTTCTTGGCGCCCAAAGCAAAATATGGCATTCTACATGAATTAATAGCAAATTAATAACAGCTGGTTCAATAAAAGGTATCTAAAGACGAAATATATTACTCAAAGCACCATTCACATGTAGAAAGTCTACATATTATATATAGAAAGCATATATTTCGTTTTATTGTATCTTGGTTTTCGTAACCTCCTTCATGACACTTAGAAACCGGTTAAAAAGTATCTAATAGTACGTTTTAAGTTGTAAAAGGAAAACCCAAGTCCGTCTAAATTGTAAATTCCACTGCTTATACTTCAAAAAAAACATCATAAAGAAGGTTAACCCAGGAAACACTCATAGGCAAACCTAAACCTTAAGTTCATAATGCTGGCAATATTTCTCTTTCACCAAAAATCGTATGAGTTTTTGGCAGTGTTGTTATATTTAGTTCATGGAATTACCCGTGTGTCCACCCAACTTACTTTCATGAAATAATTTGTGTATTTGCAGAGTCTTGACGTATTTATGTCACACACCCACTGATAGAACCTCATTCATGATAGGTAAGTTTAATTGTGGAAAGTCTCTGTTTTTAAGACAAAGGGGTAAAGGTGGGAATACATAAAGCGCTTATTTGGCTGGCTTAAGTTTTAGGTTAACTTAGTTCGATTTTGGCCCTAGGAGGAGAAGCCAGCCGATGGCTCAAGCCAGCCACCCTTTTATATATCCCCACCCTTAAGGAATTAAAAATATTGTAAAATAATACAGGTAACAGCAAGTGTTTTGTATAACGTAACAACAACCACATACAAATTTGTTTTTGAACGTAATAAAAGTGTCAGAATTATATGTCCAAAAATGTAAACAAAAGAATTAATTTTTAATAAATTATTTTAATTTCAAAAATATACATTTTTGAAATTTCGACATATTTAAAAGTCAATTTGACACTATAAGGCCGGTTATTACATCTTTCCGATAGATAAAAAAATTTATGTTGTCGGACACATAAATCGTTTTTCGTAATTACAAGTCTCATTTAAATTAAAACTGTCCGATAAGCAAAAGGCTAGAGCATCTTCCCTTTATCTTTTAACGTAAAGTTTACTGAATTCATGTTGCCATATTTTATAATGATAATATGACAATAACAGCAAAATATATTTAAATAAAGAAATGGATAACGCATATCATTTATTTTATATTGAGTAACTGAATTATAAATTCATTTCACGAAATTAATAACAATTTCGTTTTGTTTATTATTTTCAACCTAAAACGAAGATGCCATTGTGAAAAAAATGCTATGACTACCTGTTACTTTTACAAAAAGCTTGCCATATCTCTGTAAGAAATGCATATCCGATAACGTGAAAGTGGACTATAAAGGACTTTCTGGTTGATCCATGTGTATACCTATTGAAAATTATTATTAGAAATTAATTAAATCATGAAACGTCACATCGAATTTGACCCAAATATTACTATAAGCCCAATTCTCACGAGAGTAATTTTTAGTCCAAACAAAATGTTTATTTCCAAAACACACAAGGCTAATGAAACTGTCTTAAATTATACGTATCCACAGCTTTGTGTGTTAGTATTTTTATACCCTCCACCATAGTATATAACATGGTGGACCCACGTTTTGGTATAGCCCCCCATATAATAGTACCTCCCTATTTGTTGTTTGTACAAATCCACGTCTTCATATAGCCCCCCATATAGTGGTACCTCCCGATATTCGGTATTTTTGTAATTTAAGCTACATTATTCACCGAAAATGTTTCAAATTTGGGTTTTGAAGTTCGTAACGGATGCTACAGCCTATGACAAAAAATTATCTGTGCAGATCCACGTCTTCGTATAGCCCTCATATAACACTACCTCCCGATATTCGGTATTTTGATGACTTTAGCGACATTATTCACCGGCATTGTTTCAAATTTGGTATTTGAAGCCTATGACAGAAAATTGTCTGTGCAGGTCCATGTCTTCGTATAGCCCCCACATAACGATAGCCCCCGATATTCGGTATTTTAATGATTTTGGCGACATTATTCACCGGAATTGTTTCCAATTAGGTGTTTGAAGTTCGTAATGAATACTACAGCCTAAGACAGAAAATTGTCTGTGCAGGTCCACTTCTTCGTATATCCCCCTTATAACGGTACCTCCCTATATTCGGAATTTTGATGATTTTAGCTACATTATTTACCGAATTTTTTTATTCAAGTTTCGAATTTGAATATTGTAATGGTTTATGACAAAAGTTGCCTATGCAGGTCCACGTCGTCGACCCTAATATAACGGCTACATTCGGGATTTTCAAGATTTTAACAGAATTTTTAACGGATTTTATTTTATTTGAAAATTTGTCAAAAGCGTTCCAAATGGTGGAGGGTATTCAAAGATCGGCGGGGCTCAACTTACTGCTTTTTTACTTGTTATTTCTAAAACATGTAAAATTGGTGGTGCTTCCTTTCTTTTAATTATTTTAATGGGGGACAAATTGGTTTGTTTTTGACAAATCAGCTGATTAGTTGCAAGTTTCTGTAGAAATACCGTCTGTTTACTTTTCGCATATTCCTTGCAAAAGAGAATAAAACTACCTTACTCTCTCAGAAAGATGTCGCTGGACAATTCCTGCAGGAAAAGTAACCGGACACACTTATATTACGTTTGTAGGTCTGATAGTCGTTAAAAATCCTCCTAAAACAACTTAGCTTATATTTCTTTTGAGTATTTATTCTTTGATTTATTTTTATTATTTTATTTTTTAACATGTTCATAGATTTTTAAATGTTTTTTTTGCATTTCTCCGCAAATGCATTTTTGTTTGTCTTTGTAATGGCTTTGAATTTGAATATTTATTTTCAAGTTAAATTTTAATTATTTTTCTATTAAAATGCTTAATTTAAATTTATGATTTCATTTTTTTTTCTTTAACTTTTTAGAAAGTAAAAAATCGCACACTAAATTAAGACAGTACAATTCAAGTTGATGAGTTCGAGTTTTTTGTCATTTTTTCTTCGTTTTTTTTTTTTGTTTGGTTTTGTAAAGAAGGCTTTTCAGGTGGATTTGAAAATTGTTTCAAATTTCCGTACAAAGAATAGTGAAATGAAATGATTATCTAATTTTTATCAGTACAAAATTATGAAGAGAAAAATTAACTAAATTTTTTGAATACAGACAAGATACGTTTATTAAGCTAAGTTTTCTAGTTTTTTTTTTGTTCTTCCTTTTTGCGCCTTTGCAATAAATTAAATTTCCAATATTTATTGTTATGACTTATTTTCAGAAAAATTCTCGGTATTTTATTTACTCGCCTTGGTTTGAATAATAATTATACAGTTTTTTTTATGTTTTAGTTCAGAGAGTGCTTGTAGATTATTTTTTATATTTAAGTTATTTTTTTTTAATTTTTTACTTAGAAAAGTCATTTGGTTTTGAGAATTACTTACTATCAATTAGTAATAAATTTTAATGTTTCTGTTTTTTTTTTTTTTTTTCTTAATAAATTTTACAAAGTGCACATTTTTTATGATTTTTTATTAAGTGAAAGATTTTGGTATTTATTTGTGATTTTATATTAGTTATTTTTAAGGATGTTTTTAGGTTAAATACATACATGTTTTTTTTTTCGAAAACTTGGGTCTCGGCAGAGCCACAAAATTTAGTGAAACAAATTCTATGTAGTCAAATAAATTTGGAAATCTTTTGTAATTTTAGAAAAAAAAAATGTTTTATTAAAATACGAGAAAATCCTTCCATAATGGATTTTAGTGTACCGTTCACCTAGAGTTTTAATCGCACTTTGCTCCAGCACAAACTTTATAGGAAAAAGCTAGGGGGTTAAGACCACATATTATTCATTGCAAAGAATGCAGAGCGTGGGATATAGTAACAAACTGTTCAACGATTTAAACAAATTACGAAACTACAGGAAAGTAATTACTGTAGTCCTTGTTGGGGTATGCAACCTTACAAGCGTCTCCTAGACTGCAACATTATAGGCTACATTTTGCTCTTTCAACTCCTGATTGTCTTTAATTTTTTTTTCAACAATCTTAATAACTGGAGGTAGATTTGATTCACCATATACCTGCATCTATGGCTAAACAGCCATATAATACTCAAAGCCAGGTTTCATTATGGGTATTCTAATATTGTACTCCTATGTGGTGGACCATGGTTAGAATTTTGAGAGTTCACTAGTCTTCGTTTCAATGTTGCTGCTTCTCGCTATATAACTCAGTGTCCAATAATAAGACCAAATTTTCCAACAGAGGCAGGGTGAATGAACGTGAAAGGGTTTAAACCCTACTGATCTCAGAGTGAGGAAATTGAAAGTGAAGGTCAACCATACGCTGGGGGTAGGTACTCGCAAAAGCCACCCACATAGTTACCGAAGCCTAAAAAATGGGCGTGATGATACCGCTACTGAAGCCAGACAAGGATGCCAGCCCAGGGTAGTCATACAGTCCAATTTCGCTTTTGTCGCCACCAGTAGCGAATACTATCCTTCTTCGTCAAGGACGTAACCACAACATACCGTGCAATGGGAAAGTAGTAGTCAACCGCCCACACTGTTTGAGGATGTCGAGAAAATTTCTCTTCAGTCTAGTTTGAAACGTTGGAAAATAAACTGTACATCAGTACGTCAGACGTTCGTGGAGTTTCAAAACAAAAATCTGGCACAGTGAAACAGGGAGTTCCTCAAGGTGGGTATCGTCTCCCTAGTTGTTTAACACCTACCTTTCCAGAATTCCGCGTCCTCCAGGAATAGAGACCATACAGTATGCAGATGATTGCTCGATTATGGCGCCGGGTCCTGTCCTCGATGGCTTGTGAATCAGGCTGAAAACCTATCTCGCAAAGGTTGCCTCCTTCTTGCATCGAGTTATATGAAAATATAATATACAAATAAATCAACGGCAACACTCTTTACAAAATGCAGTAGTAACAAGGTCCTCAAGATGCCAGTCGCCAGCAACTAGAGGCGGGGTAAGGAAACCTTTTGACCCCTTATAAAGGGCGCCCAGAGTTGCGAATTTTAGTGCTACGCAGTGGAAAAATGCCGACCAACTGCAAAATGTTGCCACCTCACGACGCCAGTGTACCATCTACATGAGGTGGCAAAAAAGTTCTTCCCAAAACTAAGCATGTATTGCGATGGATAGGCAACCTCTGTCCAGACAAGTAAGGTGAAACCTTCTTGATTTAGAGAGAGGTGCAGAGAGAGAGCCTTAATAGTATAACATTAACGCAGTCACACTAGAATGCAGAAAAAATATCATACACGAAGATCATCCATCTTTCGTTGCAGCTAAAAAACGAAGGAGAATACGATATTGTCGATCGTACATAAAGGGTGAGATGAAAAAACTGCAACCAACTTCAGACTGCTGTCATTTCAAAGCCACTCGTCCGACAGCTGTTAAAATTATTCCAGTGGCAGCTCAATATATTGTTTACAAACGTACAAATCATTTTGGTGATAATTTTCCAGAAAAAAGTTATTCGTGATGGAATTCAAGCGTGATAGTGTGATTTCTTTATATTTGGCTGGAAAACCACAAGCGGCTATCGTTAGAGCACTCCAGCATTTAAATGTGAATAAATCTTTCGTGTCTCGTACCATCACTCGTTACCGTAATGCTGGTAGCCTAGCCCGACGTCAACGAAGTGGACGGAAGAAAACAGCAACATCAGCAGAAATGGTTCGAAAATAAAGAAGCGACTTGATCGAAACCCACGTCGCAGTGGCCGTAAAATAGCTCGTGAGCGGAACATATCGCAATATTCCATTCGGCAAATATTGAAAAATCAGCTCGGGGTAAAGCCATTGAAATTCCAAAAAGTGCAAGACATACACCGCAATATAAAAAATAGACTCAAAAGAGCTAAAGAATGGCCATGAGTGGCGAACTGCCGAATTTGGTTTTTTCCGATGAGAAAACATTCGTTGTTGTTTACTTGCCAAAGAGGTCTGCTGAAAATGTGCACCTTCAGCCACCAGAACTCAAGCGCCGGTCATGGTGATGGCGTGGGCCGTCATAAAAGCCGATGATCGCTCTCCGCTCATATTAATCGACCGTGGCATCAAAATAAATGCCGAATATTATCGAGAAAATATTCTGGACATTCCAACAGGACTCAGCACCATCGCACTCGCTTCATTTCCAGCGCACAATGGCCACCAAAATCTCCGGATACCAAACCGTTGGACTATTGTGTCTGGAGTATTTTGAAAAGCAAGGATAGCACTAAAAAATACCAAAGTGTCAATCACCTCAAGCAGTCGCTTCGCCAGGAATGGGCCAAAATACCGAAGAGCAACATCCGGGCAGCGTGTGACGGTTTCATTGGGCGTTGAAAGGCCATAATTCGTGCCAATGTTGACCTGTTCAAACAAATCTAAACTTATTCTAAAATTTGGCGCTATTTCCGACATTTTTTAATTTTATTCAATAAAATTTAAAAAAAAATGTAAAAATTGTGGCGTTTTACTTTGTTGAATTATTTTATCTCACCCTGTAGTTATATTTATATTATAAATAAGTCAGGTGTGAAATTGATAATATCGGCCAAATCTTTCGTACAACTTCTCATCAAACAATCAAACCAGGACCATTCCGTCCTAATGGATATATGGTGAGGAAAAGGAAAAGGAGAAAACGCGCAAAATACTTGTTCGTGTACTGGCAATTTTTTTTAAATTGAATATTGCTAGAAGATACGTTAAAACGCTATAACGGCATTGAAACTTAACGAGCCTTCTTTATATACACTGACTACAATCTACGTATTTAACTTCTCCCAAAAGCACCGCGTTAGTACTAACTTCTTTACTTTTTATTTGGACTTCTTAATGTATTTTGTACATTTCCAATTACATTTTTCCGTTTAAAGGGACACACCGGCATATTGAACTTCTTGGTGTTTGAACCAAACAACAACCGTCAATATTACCCTCCTGAGTAATATTTAAATTCAAATATTTTATCCATTTCCATTTACATTTTTCCCGTTTAAAGGGAAACACCGGTGTATTGAACTTCTCGGAGTTCGAACCAAGCAACAACCGTCAATATTACCCTCCTGAGAAATATTCAAATCATACTAATGTCATTTGCAACAGGTATGGCCATGTGCTGCTTTCTCTTTCCCATCGACTTATTTTAGAATTGTAAAAACATCTCTTGATGTATTTCTTCTTCTGATTTCAACATCATTAAATTAGGCAAATTTTGACTGAGAGTGACTTTATTTATAATTCCATATTTTTGTTTTCATTTTAATTAAAATTAGTAAAGTTTATGTTTTCAAATCGTATTATTATTATTATTTTGTTTTGTTTTGTTTGATGTTGGTAGAGAAAAACGTTGCATGTATTTTTTAGTGTTTTGTTTCTGATGTTATTATAATGCATAAGTTCGTTTATTGCTGATAGTTGTTGTTGATTCATTTTAAATGTTAAATGTAATGTTGTATATTCATTATTTTTGAGATGTTTTTATTTCTGGGTAATACTCCTTATGGAAGTTAATGTTGTTTGTATTGTTTGTTTTTGTTTTGTTTAAATAAAGTAAATTACTGCACATTATGTTGTTGTTATCATTATATTAAGCTGAGATTTTTAAATTAAGTTTATTTTTTTTGGTAGTTTCATTATTAAACGTTTTTGTTTTATTTATTTGGATTCGTTTTTATTTTATGCTTAGGAAATCATCATAAAGACTTTAACAAACTTAACCTTAAAAAAGAGCAAAAATAAACAAATTTTAAACAAAATAAATTAAGTTTTATAAAATATTTTTTTTATTATTTTTTAAGAAACTTTGGATAAGAAAGGGGAATAGGGGTTGAAATATGGAGGATAGGAAGAACAGGGTTAGGTTATTGTTTAAATGGAAACAAAAAATTGCAATTTAAATTCGAAAAACAAATGAAATTCGAAGAATCTATGTATGATGTAACAACGGGGTAAGGTTTTCTTTTTATTGAAATTTGACATTGGAGATTTTATATTAATGTAAAAAAAGAAAATTTGATTTGTGTTTTTAATTTTTGCTAATTTGAATTTGATTTTTTTGGTTTGTTTTCTTTTTTCTTTTTGTTATTTTATAAATATAAATTTGTTAATAATTGTGATAATTTTTTTATTAATTTTAACTTTATCTCTTAGCAAAAAAAAATACAATTAAAAATATATGTATATATGTAAATATTAGTTAAGTATATAATTTTCTTTATGAAAAATGGAGAAGAGCGACACTTCTTTTCATTTGTTTTTTTTTTCTCTTGATAATGTGATGATGGATTGGTGTTAAGAGAGAGATAGAGAGGAAACTTGAAAGATTGAAGAGAGAAATTCGGTGATGTTGTTAAGGGACGTTTTAAGGAGCTGGTGGTGGTGTATAAAGGGTTTCAGAAGAGTTTTTTTTGTGGTTTTAATTTTTTTGTTTGTTTGTTTTAAGTAAATGTTTTTTTTAATATATAAAAGCGACGTTTTGCTTAACAGAATTTAAACGTCAACAACCATTTTTTTGTGTATATCTGTGTTACCGACCACCGAACAGAATTCATCAAATGAAATTTTACCATCCTCATCCTTATCGGCAAAACAAATTGTTTTATCCACAATCTGTTGCAGTTGCGTATCCTTGAGATTATTGCCTACCATCATTTTTAAAACCTACAACAACGAAAAAGAAAAAGGTTTAATTATTGTAAATGTTGCAAATTAAATTTGCTTTCTAAAGTATTATCAAGTTTACCTGAAACAGTTCACCATTTGATATGTATCCATCATTGTCCATATCATATATACGAAATGCAAAGCGCAATTTGGATAATTTGTCGCCTTTAACGCTAAATTGTGATACACCTTGTATGAATTCCTTAAAATCTACTTCCCCATTACCGTCCGCATCAAAAATATCAATGACACGCTGAACCAGGGGATTTTGTTGCAGTTCTGGCAATGACATAAATTCATCCACGCTCAAGGCACCGGAATTATCCAAATCAAGTTTACGAAAACGTTTTCCCAAACGACGAATCTCATCGGCATCGACTGAAAGAAAGAAATGGATAAAAAATCAAATTTTAAAATGTTACACAACACATGTTTCACAATTAGAAGATGCCAAACAAAAAATATATTTGTCAAAGAAACATAATTATAACAAAATAAAATCTTGATTTTCCAATATTTCATCTTCTTGTAAAAGCTATAAAGCATTTTGGTGAAAAATTTCCAGAAAAAAAGTTATTTGTGATGGAATTCAGGCGTGATAGTGTGATTTCTTTACATTTGACTGGAAAACAACAAGTGATTATCGTTAGAGCATTTAAATGTGAATACATTTTTTCGATCGAGGTAAAGCCATTCCAATTATAAATAAATTCCAAAAAGTGCAAGAACTTAGAACGCAACGGAAAGAAAATAGACTCAAACGAGCTATAAAATAATTGCTTCACTTGGCCGAAAGTGGTGAACTGCCGAATTGGGTTTTCTCCAATGAAAACATACGTTGTCCAGCAATTTGTAAACAAACAAATTGGTCGATTAAATCTATTTTGACTTGTGTCAAATTAATGGGTCAATATTGTTCATTTCATATATATAATTTTAAGAAAATGTTAAAATGTGCCAGATATATTCGACCAAAGTATTCCATTTTTATGCATCACCTAATACAGATAAAAGTATTGATATGGGCAAAATTACAAGAAAATCTAACATTTATATCCAATTTTATGAGAAATGATAAATTTCGAGCTTCATGGATATTCGAAAATTATGAGCCTTTGTGGGAGAGGCCCCATAATGAGTGGATCGAAATATCCCATCAGGTCTTGTGTTCGTATAAATAGATAAATAAATAGATAGACACAGATATTGCCCATTTTCGCACCTGACCTAGCACTGACGCAAATAATAGGATTTGCAAAGCTAGAGCAAAATCGGATTGTCGTTTCTCTTTCTCTGCAAAAAAAAAAATATATTTAAAAATAAAAATATATTTTTTGAAAATTTTAAACTTTTGTGGGGGGGTATCAGAAGGAGTGGACCAATATGGGCAATATTCTCGATCTAAGTTTGACAAAAATATTACGATGTACCAAGTTTAGACCAAATCGGATACTCCCTTCGAAAGTTATCGTGCGCATCAGCCAGCCAGATCGACTCCAAATGTCCCGAAACGAATTTGGTCCAAAGAGACCTAGGGTCCAAAACCGTTACTAGGCATGTTTTGACCGTATCAAATGACATATACCCTCTCTAGCCATATGGCTTCGAAATGACCCAGAAAAACCGTAGCTATATTCGTCATCTGTGGGCTCCCACAAACTAGAATTGGAACATTAGAGCAAGTGTGTATTTTTGCTGTCGCACACTGTTTACATGGATGTTTTGATCGAATATTTTTAATGCACTATAGAACGACTGTATATGCTTTAATCCTGTGTTTATAACATTATCATTTAAAGGAGTATTAGTGCTTTAATTTGAAAAATGATGAAAACTTTTTTTAAGGACTTTCACTTTTAAAGGAGATAATTTCAGGTTATAAACAAATTTCTAAAATATTTTTGTAGAAGAGACAAAATATTAGACGACATTTTGCACGAAATCATCTTGAATGCATTTGGAGTCGATCATCTCAAATAGAGTACACCGTCCGTTCCAAACTTTGCAAATCGTAATATTTTTTTCAAACTTAGACTGTTGTCGAAGATACATACATTTTCGAACAAATTGTAAATCAGAGGTGGTGGTTTTTGACGAACTTAAGGTAGTCTTTACAGACGAGATAAGTGGAGAGTCTTTATTGACAAACTGAGAGGATTTATTATACAACATCAGCCTACTTGCAGTTTCGCCATTCCAAAGTTCAATCGGAGCAATGACCAAGCATTTATTTAATGGATATAGAGTGTATGCATTTAAGCTGTCTCCTGAACAGCAACGTCAACCGCAGTATCTTACGCCACATTTTGTGCATCGTTTTTGAAACTCAATTGCAACGGATTCCAAGTTAAGATTGATGAAGCAATTGAATTTATAAATCGAAAGAATATTTTGATCGTAGATGTGTAGAACACCAAACTCAATTAAAATTGCAGCCTACAACGTTTTAATGGTTACAAAATATTGAGAAAGGATCGCACCAGAAGTGGAGATGGTGGATTAGCGTTCCTCTTACACTATCCTGTCAATACAGACATATCTCGTTTGAGCAAGTCTCATAAAATGTATGGGAGTAGAAATCACGTGAGGACGTCCCCACCCGAATAAAAGAAAACTGTCACAGCCACTCTTTCTCTAACCATGGGAGAACTCACTGGCCAGAACTCAGGGAGTTCAACAGCCTTAGCTTTTGAGGACTGCCTAACCTTATGACTTACAGATAGCATATCACCCTTCCCATATTCGGGTAGCAGAAAGCTACCTATTATACCTACTAGCTGCATATCCGTAATAAGACAACATTTTCCAGCAGAATGGATGAGCGTCATGAGTTCCGCTTGTATTGACAGTGGAAGGCAACCGGTTTGTACAGGAGCCACATTGGAAACTATATGAGTAAACTGATAATGATAGGTCACTCTCGACTCCTGGGAAAAGGTATGAAGAAACTCAATCAAGTTTAACGACAATGTTGATTGATCCGAAAAGGTCCGCTGACCACTTTGATCGCCAATTGGTCGAACATCCGTGATAGATATTGCGAACGAAGAGGTCTTCGACGTACAAGATCACTTTCCGCCAAAGAGATACCACCACAGTTTAAGATTAGTAATTTTGCGAGTATCATAAGAAACGCTAAGTCGCCCAAAACGTTTGTTTCGGATAGAATCTTTATGGTAATGTTGAAACACCTGTCGCTATTCACATTCATCGTTCCCGAATAATGCCACCCAGTCCCGCTGCTAGAGATGGGCAAATACGCCTGCAGTTAAGTATCAGACCAAACTCTCTACCTGTCGCTAATCACCCACATCCTTCCCAAAAAAGGGCTGGATGGTCCCGCTACTAAGGATGGGCAAGGATGCGAGCAAAGGCACCAATAAAGGCCAATTTTGCTTTTGTTACCCGTTGCCAAGATTCTTGAGACAGTATTAGAGAAAAAAACATGCTGCCTTCTCATGACATTGTTGGACCATCTTCAGGGTGACATAAAAAACTGCAACAAAGTCAAACGCCATAATTTTTACATTTTTTTTTAAATAAAAGTTTAGATTTGTCCGAATTGGTCATCTTTGTCACGAATTGCGGCCTTCAAACGGCCAATGAAACCGTCACACACTGCCCAAATATTGCTTTGCGGTATTTTGACCCATTCCCGGCGAAGCGTTTGCTTGAGGAGATCGACACTTTGGCATTTTTTAGTGCCAACCTTGCTTTCCAAAATACTCCAGACACAATAGTCCAACGGATTGGGATCCGGAGATTTTGGTGGTCTCAAAGGTCTGCGGCCAAAATGTTCGCTTGCCCAAGGCTTTATTACACCGTCCAGAATATTTTCGCGATAATATTCGACATTTATTCTGATGCCACGGTCGATTAATACGAGCGGAGAGCGACCATCCGTTGTTATGGCGGCCCACAGCAGCGCTTGAGTTCTGGTGGCCAACCGAAGGTCCCTATTTTCATCTGACCTCTTTATTTGTTTACAAACTGCTGCACAACGAATTTTTTCTCATTGGAGAAAACCAAATTCGGCAGTTCACAACTTTCCGCCAAGCGAAGCAACTCTTTAGCTCTTTTGTGTCTATTTTCTTTCCGTTGCGGTGTAAGTTCTTGCACTTTTTGGAATTTCAAAGGCTTTACCCCGTGCTCATTTTTCAATGTTTGCCGAATGGAATATTGCTATATGTTCAGCTCAAGATCAAGTCGATTCTTTACTTTTCGAACCATGCTTCAGGTCCGCCTGACTATTGTCGAATATAGTCGCCGGATCGTTAAGATCACCGTTTGACAGTTTGTTGTTACGGACCCAGACTTCCCTGTCAAGTATAACCGTGGGCGACCTAAAATCGCAAAATGTCCAAAGGATTATCTGCGCTTAAGTTCTCTGAGTCTATGGGCGCATCAGATTCACTCTTTCCCTACAAATGGACTTAAATAATTTAAATGAAATTGGGTATCCAATGCACCTGTGAGCAATAAGCGCCGTAGCTCTGTGAACTTTATGGCTGATTTCCCTAACCACTACAGCTCCATATCCAATTTGATAATATGCAGTTTTAGGCCCCAACTTTTACCTATAGATTTCTTGCAAGATTAATGTACAATTAAGCCCCTCTTTGTTCCTCATTATTTCTCTTCCAGACATTGAGCTTACAATTGGCCTAATTGAAGAACACTACAGGATTGGAACTTTAATTTCAAAAAAGAATGACCGTGACGTAGTAGGCTTTTGCAGACTCTGTTAGAGTGTTTATGAAATAGGAACTGCTGGACGTCTACTTTATACGCTGTGTTCTATGTTTCACATTTTTTTGTGACATGGAAAATCTAAAGTCTGATAGATTCTAAAAACATTAACAACAAACATGAATCTTCTCAAATTATATTGAAGGTAAAAATACAAATTTTCATGAAGGGGAGGAGGGGAGTAAAGTAATGTTCCATATATAAGATAGTTTAAAAAAAGTGCATAACAAAATATAGACACATGCCATTCTAATGCTTCAATGCGCTAAGAACGGCAGACGGGAGAGAGAATGGCAATTAACTTGAAATAGATATACACAGAGACGAAATTTTGACAATCTTTCATAGAGAAAAGAATGACAGCAAGTGAATATGAATACACATATGCAGATATAGAATATTATTTTGACAATCTAGCTAGTCAATGTCCCATGTCCACAAAAAATTAAAAGAAAACACGAAAAGTATTTTCTTTTCTTTTTTATTCTATATATAGATGATGTTCAATGTCTAGCAACAATGCCAACAATGAATGCTGCTTAAATGGTGCTAGTAATGTGTCAGTATTTGTCATATAGTTAATATGTTTTTGAGATTTTTCTTCTACAAATCAAAAAGAAAAACAAGAACGTTGTAGTACTCGGCAACAACAAATAATATGGAGCATAAAGAAGAATTTTAAAATTCATTCATAAAATATATGGAGGTTGTTTTTTTTTTTTTGTTGCTAGTATGTCTTTAGTAGTTTTGTTTATATTATAGCCATCACATGATACGCCTGTGGCTTTAGTTATGATGCCTAGCTTTTATTATAAATAACACTGTGCAACACATGTTCGAACCCAAAATATTTCAAGGATTTGATGAGAAAATCTGAACCTCAATATAAGAAAATCGATGTTTCTGTTTTATTGGGGGCTATACAAGGAGGTGGACTTTCGCTTTCAACTTTTTGTAAGCATTTCAAATAACCCAACATGCCAATTATAGATATTTTCGTGCACACAACTCCTAGGACAACATTCATTCCATAATTGATAAAAGCATTTGGGACTGCATCGATATGAATGCTACTCACATCTGTCTGATAGGCATATTGATCCAGAGGCTCTTTTAGGCTTTAGATCATGTTGGTCTTTCCTGATACCCCTAGTTGGGGGAATTTTATCCACCATATGATGGATAACACCCAAGCAGGTAATGCAATGAAAACAAGTGATTTTGACATATGAGCAGAACTCACTCTTGAGAGACCTATAGCAATATAAGTGGTCAAAAAGTTCTCTTTATCCGCAGACCAAGTAAGACCTTGTTTCTAATTTTTGAATTTATCAGATAGAACAAGCGGACAGCATTCTTTACAATCTCAATTCCATCTATTTCGATCTACGAGGTTTGGACTTTCTGATTCGAAATTCCACATTCAACTGGGGTCTACACATATGCAACATACATTTTTGATATGTTTGGTTTAGTCTTCGACTAATATGTTTAGGTATGGGGTGCAATGCTGTTGGGAACACGGAATCCGTGTTGATTGTTGATATAGTCTATAGCGTTTCGTAACAAAATCACTCTTTGTAAACCGTTCCTGGGCGGGAATTGGTCTTTCACGACGTAGTACTTTTCGTTTCGTTCTATCACTTTCGGAATGTCCGACAAAATAGCGATTAATGGGCACAGACCATCTCTGTGGATCAGCATCGTTATGTCGTTAAACATGACTGAAGTCCCATCATCATGATTTTCCCTCCCACCACAAGATTGGAACCTTCTTTTGTCGATCTAGTTTTAAGGGCAATCAACTGCTAAAAAGAAAGTTACTCGATTCGAATCCATGCTTCGAAAAATATGTTTTGTATGTCGTCTACAACGAATTGCATTGGAAATGAAGATATGAACATCAATTTTAACGCCTTAAAATATCTGTTTTGATCTTCGATGAGTACATTTTGAAAACAAAACTTTTGTTTGTGTTTCAATATTGGTCTTGTTTTGTATAATGTAATAGAAAAATGTGATCTACATTACTAAAATAAAATATGTTGATTAATAATATTTACAAAAATATATAAGTCGACAGAAATACTTACAGTTGGAGCACATCTCCATGGGCAGAGAAGTTTCATTTCCCTGAAAAGAAGGAAAATATTATATTTATATTTATATATACATTTCAAAGATTTTTGCAAACAAAGTTAATGTCTAAGACTTTTGTCATAATCAACCAGCCGTAGACAGATTCAAAGCTTTAAAATTCATTTGAATAAATCTGAAAAGTGGAACAAGCGAGAATAGGCAATAGAAGGGATAATCTATAAAATTAAAACAAACCATATCTTTTGGTTGTTCATTTTTATGTTGGCTACAGACAGTCTACTCGATAAAATAGACGTTCGTGCACTTAATTTTTTTCCTATTAGCACATGGCGACGTTTACAAACACCTGCGCATACATTCATAAAATAGGCAACAAATATCAAAGACAAGAAATGGGGGAAGAGCATGTAGAAGTGACAACATTATTGGCACCTATTGACAATTGGCAAATAATTAAATTACTGTTTCACAGTCGTACCTATGTCAGAAATCAGAGGGGTAGTAAGAAGGCAAATAATGTAAAATACTGAGTAATGCGGATTTGGAGGATAATTTGATATATTTGTTTCATTTACGTGCACAAATTTTCAAAATATGAATAAGATTCCATCTGTGGGCGATGAAGCGGAAAGTGTTGAAGAGTCCTGGGAAATATTTCGTTCTTCGAAGTTTTTATAGATGAACTGAAGATAGTGCTAAAGGAAGTAGTATCTCTTCAGGTTAGCTGAGGGGATTTTCTGCACGAGCTAAGCGGAGTCGTTGCGAATGAGCTTAGGTGAATCTTTACTGAGAGCAATCCTTTCAGACGAACCAAGGGGACGTGCTGAAGCAAGTCTTTACTGATAGGCTAAAGCAAATCTCATGTACGGACTAAAGTAATTCTTTTTATACAGGGTGAAGCATGTTTACTTTACACATTCTGAGGCAAGTCGTTTAGCTGAGATGAGTCTTTACAGATGACTTAAAGGGAACCTTTACAGACAGACGAGCTGAAGGGAGTCTTTTTAGCCTGTAAAATCTTTACAGAGGACCTGAATTGAATCCTTATATGCGAGCTGAAGGGCAGTGAACCTTTATAGACGAGGTTAGCGCGAAGGAGTCTTTATAGACGAGCTAAAGGCCAGTGAGCCTTTATAGGCGAACTGAATGCCAGGGAGCTTTTAATGAAAAGGGGGTCTTTACAGCCGAAATGAGTAGTATTCTTATTAAAAAAATTGTAGGCAAACTGAAGGGAATCTTGCAGACAAGCTGAGGGAACTCTTTACAGCTGAAGTAAGGTTAGTCTTTACAAACGTTCTGAGTGGATCCTTTGCAGACGGACTGAGGGGAAGGAAGAAGGCGAGCTGAAAGAAATCTTTATAACGACCCACGAAGAGTCCTTGCAGACGACCTAAGGTGAGCTCTTACAGACAAGGTGAGGGGTTTTTATAGACGAACTATTTATGAGGCCGCCCTTTAATCAAACAAATGAACAACATTTGGTGAAAACCAAAGGATTGAATGGAGTCAGAAAATGGAAACAGAACGAACACAGCTGTATGAGCTGATACAACAACAACAACATTTGGTAAAATGAATTCTGAGTTGCTGGACTGGACAATATGGGGGGTCCTGATTCCAATAATATAATTTTCCTGAGGTCGAAATTAAAAAAAGGACTACAAAATAAAATAAAAAGTAATAGTCGTTGCGGTGCACCTAACACCTCCAGAGGTAAACAATGCGGCTCCGCTATGGTCAGCCAACGCCAGTGCTACGCCGTGAAAAAATATTCAGTCCTGCCAGAATGCCTCCCTTAAAACCGCAACAGGGTGCCTCCTTATGACACCCGTCGACCACCTACATGATGAGTCGAAGGGTTTACCGTTGCGACAGCATAATAAAATGCTGTCAATAGATGTTTGGGTCTTACAGACAGACCATCTTGTGAATAGGCAACCTCCTTCCAGGCACGTAAGGAAAGACCTTCATCATCTAGAGAAAGCTACAGGTACAGGTATAAGAGAGAGCCTCTAGATCAACAGGCCCATCAAGCGAGACTGGATAGTAATCATTCTAACGCGGTCTCAGAAGTCATAAAGGACATAGAGTGAATACTGTACTAGGAGACCATCCCCTCCCATCGCAGCTTAAGAGCGACAGCTGCCCCGACAAACCCGAGTAGTTTTGTCTCAGTTAAGATCCCTATTGAGCCCATATTGACAGCGATGTGCAGAACATCTGTCTATCTTGTGACACAGGTTCACATGAGACGCTGCACCTATTTCGCTGTACACCCAAACCTACTCACCTAACTCCAGTCTCGTTGTGGACCCAACCCGTACAGTCTGCATCCTTTTTGAAACTGGACTTAGAGGCAGTACCCGATTGTGAGGAGTCAGAACGAAAACAGCTGAACTGCTACAACATTTGGACAGATTTTAACATCGACTTCGAGGTAAATTTGCTTGTTGTCAGGTCCTCTAGAGTTTCACAAAATAAATAGAACTACCGTAACTGTAGGGAGACCCATATCTAGGAAATTCGGGCACCTTTTAGGAAAAATATATTAGTTTGTAATCAGGATCACAAGAGCTACAGGTGTTGAAGTTTACAAACTGCTCAACTAACATTAGGCTTTAAAATTAAACCATTTACCCCTACAGCGAAACTTGAAAATCAAAAATCAAAAAGAAAAATGTTGTTTGATAAAAAGTTTCAAGTCCTTGAAGAAAAATAAAATTTATTTCTTTAAGATCAACATTCCCCATCAAAAAGGTAGGTTGCTCATGTTCCTTACAAAAAAACATGACCTATTTACATGCTACGGATTACATTCAAGAATGTTCACCACCCAAGCAACATTAAAATTTGAAGATAGTTAGTGTAAAAAAACAATTATTCTTAAAGGGGTGTGTATGCGATTGCGACACAATTGTATGCGATGGGGCCACTATAGTTTTTTTTTGCTTTGGCTGGTCTCTTTCATTGCAATGTAGAATCAAAGGTGGCAGGTGGTGATGGTGGTTGCTTGTGGCTGACTGACTGTTTGGCAATTGTATTATTTCTATTCCTACATTTATTGGCCTTTTCTTGTGCTCGCCCTCACCCTCCCCCGCCATCGCTCTAAAATGTATGGTGAAGGCCTCATTGGGGGCAATGGGACAGAGAAGGTCTTTCTTTTGTTTCGTGGTATATCATATGGTCTGCTCTCGTTTCGTTAAGTCGTCTCGTAAAACAACACATGAATTAACAATAAAAAGACAAGAGAAGAAATGTATTTACCATTTTGTTTGATGCTTAAGTATCTGCGAAATATATATAGAAAAAGTTACGATATATATTTTCCTATTTTCTTTTATGCTTTTATTATTTTCTTATTGCAATGAAATTTCACTTTTTCGGTCACACTTTCTTCCTAAAAGTAGCGCTCCTCTTTATTTTTGCCAGCAAAAAACAGCAGCAACACCAAAAATACACTTTCTGTCGTTTCTTCTTCTTTGGCTAGTTCTCTTTTTTATTTTTCGTTATTCGCACTTAATTTCAATCACTTGCAATTTATTTTCAATCGATTTTTCTTTTCCTATATAGAATTCTTTTCTCTACAATATATTATCCGTTAGCTAAAGTTTTTATCACAACTAAATTTGTTGAATTGTAGCGTTTTATTTTTTTGCAAATTCCAATCAGAATATTTTTTTCCTTTTTTTGGGGGCTCTTGGTGTCTTTTTCCGTTCATATACACAAAATTAGGGATATGTAAGGTCACACTGGACAAATCGATTGTTGGAATCGATAGTTCGGAATATATCGATATTTTTCCGTTACTAATTTGAATTTGTCGTATTGATCGTTTGTATATTGGTCTGTTCCACAAATGAATAAAAATGTAAAAGTTTTCACTACGAAAACTAAGTTTCTCTTTATTTCTAGCAAGTACTGGAACAGAGCATATGATAATTTAGAAATTAGACACCACAAGTACTAGTAACCCTGTATGAAAGCTGGGGTTATATGTCTCAAAGTCACAACCTTTGAAGGCTTAAGGTGAGAATACATAAAAGATTTTTTGACTGACTTAAGTCACTGGCTGGCTTCTTCGCAAAATAACAAAGGAGCTTAGGGCAAGCAAGCATAGGAGAAGAATACAGGTGGTCGCATCAATTTTGAAATTGGAAATTTTTAATGAAAATTTATTCAAAATTGTAAAAGTTTTTAAAATATCATTATATCTCCCGATAAGTGTCGTATAAGAAAACTTATACAAACAAATCTACTTATTTTTGAAAAAAATACAAATTTTGACGCACGTTCCCAACGTTGATACATCTACATATATTCTTCTACCATGGTGAGAATATATAAACTGTGGTCGAAATTTAACTAAGTTAACCCAAAATGCCTTTGATTAACTACGAAGAAGGCGCTGATGACTTAAATCAGCAACAAAATCCTCTTTATGTACCTGTACCATGGTAAAATTAAGAAGGTAAAGTCATTTCAAATAAGCATTTCCATCTTTGCATTTTCTGTATCTTTACATTGCTGGTTCCCATCTCTGATTTTTGTATGATGAATAATAAATGAATAATTTTCAAAAAAAAAACAAAATTGTAAACATATGATTGCATGACTTTACCTTCTTAATTCTACCATGACCTGTACCTTAAGGCAGTAGTTCTTCACCATTGACATTTCTCAGGAGGAATTGTAAAATGTGAAAATAGTAAGTCATACGACGACGCCAACCGCTTTATGTATCTCAATTTATAAAGCTAAAAACTAAGCGGTTTGAGCTAAAACAACAGTCACAGGGAAACGAATAGTATCTTTTAATTCGTCTTCTCGTACTTGTTGTTTTATCGATAATAAATAACGCGTAAAATGGTTGAACACGTTTAGACCTAGTAAGTATTTTTGGTTACCCATAGCTCAGCAAGAAAGGTTGTTCAACCTCAAAGAAACTAGAAAATGCAACTCTGTGCTGGAGTCTTATAGTGTCAAATAGACTTTTAAATATTTAACAGTTGGTTTTGTTTATTTTTAACAGAATTCTTATGTTGTGGAAAACCCGCGAAACAACAGCGGAATTTTGGGTTTTTTCCATAAGATTTAATCTAAAATAGTAGAACAATACAGTTTTATCCTAAAACCCTAAAAAACGTCAAAAATATGCATTTAATTTGCAACCGAATTTGAAATAATTTCGAACTATTGTATTTTTTATTCAAAACAATAAACACATACAATGTGTATATGTTTTGACAGAATAAGGGCACCAAAAGAAAAAAATGTATTTGGTGGGTAGGTTTGTTCTACCGTCTGTAATTGTGCCATGGTTCTACAATGTCCAGCTTTTAAACAGAGCAAAATTTTTCCGCCTGTAAATTTGTAAGGTTCGGAACGTTTTTAAATGTGTTCGGTGTGCAAAAACTAGCCCAATTTGGCGAAAAACAGAACTACGTATCCCTACTTTCTTGTTGGACTCTTATTTTATTGTTTTCCTTATTAAACAAAAAAAAAATAATTAATAAAAATCAAGCAAAAATACATCAGTAGCAAACAAAGGTCCAAACGTGTAAACACAACGACAAAGCAACAGGAAAAAATGAACGATAACAACGATTCAACGCTTCCAACATCCTTGCGTGCTACAACAGACACTACAGATAATGTTGCAATGGGAGCCGCTACTACCAATCCTACCAATATGATGATCAACAGTTATGGCAAAGAACAAATGAAAATGTCTGCCAGCAGTAATGCATTGAAACAATCATTAAAATTGGAAAATTTAGAAGAATTTGATAAACTACCCTATGAAATACATCGTTATTCGTCGTTTTCCACCAATTATGTGCCAGAGTAAGTAAAAATAGACAATTTTTTTTGGGAAACAAATTGGGGGACTGGACAAATGCCAGTATATGTTTTGCCTAATTTTGCATAATATTTTTGAAAATTTTCTCCTGATGTCTTGCTGCTGCTCTCCATCGATCGATTATATTGAGTAAAGAATAATTTTTGTTATGCAGCAGCCTTGATTTGTTTGTTGTTATTTCTTCCTATTGTTATTATTGTTCTCCGTTTTATGTATGTTGCTGTTCTTTTGCAAAGCTTCTTCATATCGCGCTGAATTTTTGCAGGTTGTTAACTTTATTTGAATTCTTGATAGGTATCTGCGATAATATAAAAGTAAGAATAGCTGCAAATGAAAACCAGAATCAAGATAATAACAACAAAAAAGAAACGGTATTTTTAACATTTTCTTTTATATTATTTACTTGTAGGCATTTTTGTTTCAATTATTTGTTTATGAAACAAACATACAAACAATTGTCGTAAACTGCGCAGTTGGCGGCATTTTTATTACGGTAATCAGTTGTCCGCCTCCATTGTCTGCCTGCGGTTACTACAATGATGACTGGCTGAGTGGTTGTGTGTGTAGATTTTATATATTTAAAGGTTGAAATACATTTTGTAGAGAATCTTTAGGTGGTTGGAAATCGGGATATTCCCATCCATTAGTTCAATTTGTATGCCAAATATTATCAAACCACAATTTTCAAAAAAAAAAAAAAAATTAATAAAAATTGCAAAAGCCTTTTTCGGCTTGATAACCATAGATTTTCCAAAATCAGGATGAGCCCGAAAGTCATGGATTCCGAAAGAATATTCCCAAGTTCATCAATTCAGATATTTCTGAGACCGTCCTAAAATCTATAAAAACTTTCAAGTCCTTTTTGTTCTTAATGAGTCGTAATGAAGTAAGATTATCATGAACTCTGCGAACATGGATTTTAAATGACACATTCTATTTCAACGACCATTAATACGCCGGTACAATAGTGAAAATTTGAAAATGTTGTAAACATTTTCCTCCGATCAATGCGCACAGCATAGCTTCACATATATTCTCAACTAGATTTAACTAACTAGCTGTTTGGAAAACTTTTACACCTATTTGAGATTTTTTCTAAACTGACAATAATTTCGATAACTGACAATAATTTTCTTCAATGCGCCTTTAACCATTTTTTTGTTTGCAGAAATATACTTGTTGATTGTCCCAGCGATCAGTCGTCACGTTGGTCGGCTCACAACAATAATCCACCACAATATTTGACTCTGAAACTGCGTAGACCTGCCATTGTTAAGAAGATCAAATTTGGTAAATTTGAAAAGTCGCATGTGTGTAATATTAAAAAGTTTCGTATCTATGGTGGTCTGGATGAGGAGCACATGATACTCTTGCTGGAGGGGTAAGTAGATAAAGAATCCCATAAAGAGTTTCTAAAGTGAAAATATTAATTCCAAACTTGTATTTAAAGAGGGCTGCGCAATGACCATATACCCGAAACCTTTAATTTACGTTGTGTTGCCAAGGATGCTACTACAAGTCTGCCAATTTTATATATAAAAATTGTACCTCTCCTGTCGTGGGGACCCACCTTTAACTATAGCATTTGGTATATTGAATTAATGGGTCAAGATGATCCAATGTATACAAGTGGTTGTTTAAAGGATTACAATAAGGTAAGGAGATGAAAAGTACTAAAACTATTGAAAATTGTATTGTTCTGTTGCTCTTTTAGTTACGTGAAGTGGAAATCATACGCTTGTGTTTGAAACATTTCCGCCAGCAAGGTTATGATACAGCTTTTAAAGCATTGCAGGATCAAACTCATGTCCAATTGGAACATCCTTTAATAAGCGAATTACATCAATGTCTCGTTATAAATGGAGATTTTGAAAAGGCTGAAAAATTCATTAGCGATTGCATTGAAGAGGGACTTATGGATGATTATTTAAATCGTCAAGATTATAAGCATGCATGGCGTCTACAACATGTCCAGGGTTTCGCCCAGCCAGGTAAAGTGGGAAAACATATTTTTATCTTTGAAATGTCCTTTTTTCCATGATAATACTTTAATGTAACTACTTTTTCAACTATTATGTATTGATTATTTGATAAGCTCAACACACAATGATTGGTCTTAACAGCACATTTCAAGTTGAGACTTTAGCGATATTGAAAAATTACAATCGTCATTTGATCAGGTCATTGTGCTTTGGACATCTAAGAATGAGATTTTGCAGAAAGTTAGCTTTGGTCATCTCCGAGGACGATTTTGACTATTTCTAATATGACCTGTGGTCAGAGGGACAACTTTTGGTTGTTGCTTTTGTTCTTGTAGCAGTAGTACATGCAAGTGTTTGCGTTCTGCTACTCTGGTTCCATCTCCAGGTTTGGAAATTCTTCTACTTTGATGGGCTATATCCAGAGATCTTCTGGAGTGAGTTGGGCAGGTTTGGCTGTGCAATTAAAGAGGTGCAGCGTGTTGATCGGTCCTGTATCACACGCCGGGCAGGCGTCACGCACATCTTCATCAAATTTTGGTCATTTGGGGTGATGAAGTCGGCTAAAAATACGATCTTGTTTACAGGTGACAAATATATATTCTTCTCCGAAGATAATATATTCAGTGCGTGAACGGAAACTTTAGTCGTTGGTAGAGAAAATGAATCACTACATTTCTATAAAAGTGACTCTCAGATATCGTGTGGAGGTTTATTTCTATTAGAAGAAACGCCCACATGTCTATGAAAAAGTCATTTGGCCCTTTTTGAGAAAACGAGGGATGCGAGGATTTCGGATATAAGTGCTCACTAAACCCTCTTATGGGATGATAATCTCTTGGTCTTTTATTGAACGACCTTCTAAACTTCCATCAAAAACTCGCTCAATGATCATACAATGGCGAAATTTTACGACTACGGAATTCATAGACTTTGTGAAGTAAAATCTATATAATTCTTCTGACATCTTCTGATTTTCAAATAGAAGCTTCCTTAAATTCTATTGACCTGTTTCAATATAACATTTTAAAAATGATTAAAAATGATTTTGTAGTTGCTCTACAGGTCGCAATTATAGACCAATCGCATGCGCATGTAGCTAGAGTTTAGGGCGGGGAAGAAGCCTACCAATTTGGGTGGTCATCGGATAATATTTAGCGGGTAAAATAGACCATATCTTTTGTATTAAAAAAATTCAAAATTTTTCATTAAACCGCGAATATTTTAAATCCCGGCGAAATCAAAAGCCATGACAAGGTTACTTTTTATCTTTACATTCATGTTAACATCCATCAAATCGGATATATAGCAAAATATGTGCGATATATATGTCTATCAAAGAAGATATGCTTGAAAGATCTCTTATATGGCGAGAACGGCTGAACTGATTTCGACAGTTCTCATTAATTCAAAATGGCCTCTTGGCAGGAAAGAAAAAACGTCAAAAAAATTGCATAAAAATATCTCTCTAAAGATGAAAATATTGATTTTGTAATATTTTCTCATATTTTTTAAATTTTGTCATATTTTTGGCATATTTTCATTTTGAATTAAACATTTGGTAATATTTCTACAGCTAACAAAACTAAGTAGTTAGGATATCAGGATATCATCAGGGATAAGATGAGGGTCAGAGTAGAAGCCTACTCTTTTTGGAGATGATCGTCATATATTTAGGGGTTGAAATGGACCAAAAAACTGCAAAATTGTCAGCAGATCGTAATTATCGCCCGGTCCTCATGCACATTTGAATGGGGGTTACCGCACATTGCAAAAGCCAAGCAGTTTTGGATGACCATCCAAAAATATTCAATGTGTGAAGGAGTTTGCCAAGTTTTGTAGACAAAATACGAAAATGTCCATTCCAGTGACTTTTTGGAGAATTCACAAATACAGGAAAGACTATTTCGTTGACGCTGATTTCGTTGAAGAATATAGTCGAATGTCTGTATCTCATATAGATGCGTTTTAGTCAAAAACCAATGATAAATGTTAATCTTTTGCCACTTCTGAGAGATTATAGGTCTTTGGGAAATATTGGTTTCAGATCTAGGAAGACCATTTACGTACAAAATCTGCCAATAAATTGGAAATGAGCAAATTTGTTTAAGTTGCTATTATTTGAAAATTAGAGAACGAAACCTGATGGTTTTCTTTTATTATTTGTCACAATATCTTGTGGAATTCGTTCGAGTTTCTCGCCTATATAAACTGTATCGTTTATTATAGTGTTGTAGGGTATTCAACGGTCGGCCCCGCTCGACTGTAGCCTTTGCTTACTTGTTTTAATTTATTTTTAAGGAATGTTTTTTGTTCTATGGTAATCCCTTTCAAATCGTCATATAAAAGCTGGTCCTATGTTTTCTTTTATATGTAGACGCTAATGTGCTCAATCATCTTCAATTGGTAGAACAAATTAGTTTCCCCTAAAAACCACTTGTGAAACATTCGTAGTACTTGACGAATAAACCCCCATTTTGTTTCTTATGAATTCTTATTTAATATTCTATTTTCGTTTCCAGGTAACCGCGGCGGCCATCAACTGGTCATGGATGTGAAAAAACGTTTAATATACCTCTTTGGCGGTTGGGATGGCTTTCAAGATCTTAGCGATTTATGGGTATTCGATATAAAGGATAATTACTGGACACAAATATTTGAGCATTCCGAGCAATTTAATGGTCCGACACCACGTTCATGCCATAAAATGGTATTTGATCCAGTCAGTGAGAACATTTTTATGTTGGGTCGTTATTTGGACAACTCCATACGGACAACCGAATACATTAAAAGCGATTTCTATCTGTATGATACACGTGCCAGAACATGGTTACAAATATGTGATGATACATGTCAGGTTGGTGGTCCTCAACTGATGTACGACCATCAGATGTGTATCGATGTGGAAAAACGAACAATTTATGTATTCGGTGGTAAGGTGTTGACACCGCGTAGTGTCAATGCATCGACCACAAGTGAACCCGAGTATTCCGGCCTATTTTCCTATCATATTGCCACGAATACATGGACACAAATTCTGGTGGATTGTCATCATCCGACGGCATCCCAGCCGGATGTATTGTCCATTAAATCCCGTATTACCCACTGTATGGTGTTTCATAATGTAGGTTGAAAAATATTGCAATTTATTGAATTTTGCTTTAAAAAGGAAAGTATACATTTGTCATTGTTTAGAAAAAACGTAAATTATATATTTATGGTGGCCAGCGTGGCAAGGAGGATATTCATGATTTTATAACATATAAAGTTGATACCCAAACATTGGAGATTTTAAATAGGCATCCCAATTCAAATGGCCAAACTGGTTCGACTGGTAATAATAATGGTAATGGCAGCAGTGTGAGCAGTAATAGTGGCTCGTCTGGTTCCAGTAATCCGCCACATTCTTCCGATGGTAAAAATGAACCCTCGCCTGGTTATACTCTGAGAGCCACCATCGACTGTGAACGCAATGAAATCTATGTCTTCTCGGTGAATATTCCTTCGCTCAAGGAAGGTTAACATATTTTTTTATGTAAAATCTTTTTTTCTTACAGAGTCTTAGCAAAATCAAAGATCGTCGCGATATTCATCACGTTGATGCTTCTAATTCATTTTGGGTCTATTCATTAGATACTCATCAATGGTCGCGTATTTATACTAGCCGCTACAATCCATCTTCGCCTGATAGTACAAAATTTGATAATAGCCGTAATAATCTTATGGAACCCTGTCCTCGTTATGCCCATCAATTTGTCTATGATGACATGGCCAAATTACACTATATGTTTGGCGGTAATCCGGGACGTTCAACAACACCACAGCTGAGATTAGATGATTTTTGGATATTAGAATTGGAAAAGTAAGTTGAAAATGGAGGAGTTTCTCATAAAAGAACTTAGGCATTTTCATCATGAATAGGACGAAAGTCCTATTGGTTTTTTGTTTGTTTTGGTTATATATCTCCAACATATGAAATAACCTATGCCTCCTGTTTGATAACATGGTACATGGGCATAGTAGGTGTACAATCGTCTCAATCTTATCTATATCTTCACATAGTCTACAGTAGTCAGGCCAACTGTTATCCCTTTTTGAGGTCTGATATCTGGTACTGGAGTGGCCAGACCGTATGCCTACTACGATTCTTAGATCTGATCTACTAATTCATAAAAGAGAGTAGGTTATTTTCCTTAAATACCGGCCATATTCTGCTAGCTTCTTTGATGAGAGACTTTTTGAAGCAGCCGATATAGTAGCTTATCGGTGGATTGACAAGCTCATACATCGGTAGATCAATCAATTGGGAACTACCTCGAGGTAATTGCTTAGCCATCTCATTACCCACTTTGTTGCTGTGTCTTGGGACCCAACAAAGAATTCTTGATTTTGTTCTTTTTATGGTATTTTATTTACAACTTGTTATCACAAATATTTTCGGATGGTATCCTTGGGACATTTCAGAGATTTTGTTTACCCTGAAGTGGAGATCATGGAATACCTGTGTCTAAGTTTCTAGGACAGGTCAACATTATTTTCAATTTTAATTTTTCTCTCTTTGCTCCAGACCCAAACGTGATGAAATTTTAAAACATTGTCGTTATTTGGTACGTAAATTACACTACGAAGAAATGGCCAAGGCTGATCCATATAAAGCAATGCACTATCTAAGACATCAAATTGCTGAAGTGATTGATCACAGTAATCCGGAACAATTGAGAAATGTAAATATAACTAAATTCATTCACCACGACGCCAATGCTGATATACTTTTTTCTCCAAACAGTTCCATAGATTGGCTTCATTGCTTTTTAAATGCGATGAAGATATTAAAACAGAAGAAAGACCTTTAAACACACTGCCATTGGGAGGAGCCACAACATCCATGGCGGCATCGACATCGGCGAATGAAGACAAATCGTTGACAGAAGCCGAATGTAGCTCCGACATGGCCTCAACTACGGATGATGGTAAGAAGTTTGACAAAAAGAAGAGCAAAATATTTTAATTGTATTCTTTCATTTTCTAACTACTAGAAGTTTGTGTCAAATCCGAGGACAATACTCATGCGCCCGACGATCTTTCCATGGAGTCCTGTTCAAGTTCCACTACCTCAGGTATTTCTGATGCGGCTTCGTCATATTCAGCCTACCGTAAATCGGGTGGTAAACGTTCTCGCCACAGTTATATTCAGGAACTACGGGCACGCCGATCGTTCCTTTTCAATAAACTTGTTCAATTGATGCCTTCAAATATGGTACAACCAGAACGTAATCTTAGTGATTTTGTAATAATCTAGTGAAAATAATGTCCTCCAACAACTTTGTGGGGAAGAAAACTTGATGTTGAAATGTATTTTGTAATGCCTTTGCTAATCAACAATTGTAATTTCGTTCGTTTGTTTTGTTTGCTTTGTAGAACACATAGAAAGAAAAAGACTTAAATTTTGTTAACTTTTAGTTGTAATTCATTCTTTGTTTTTTATGTTGTGTTAAATGTTTAATCTTTCTGTTTTTATTCCTCATGAATTTATGTAAGGGATCCTAAAATGATTTAAAACTATAAGAATATATTGCCATTATTATACATTAGTTACATTTTGTTTATAAATATTATTCCATTATTATTTTATTTTTATATACTTTATTTTATTGTCTTCAAACCCAAATTGTTTGGTATTGTGATGATTATTCTAAAAGAAACAAAAACAAACCTGTGAGAAAAGTCATTTTGTTTTTTGTATTATTTACTGTTTTTTGTGTGCGCCTTTTTTTAGATATTTTTAAGAATATTTTTATTTCTCCTATTTTTGTACTTCCGGCAGCTATAGTGAGTGAGAAAGAAAAATCAAAAACAAAAAGTTTCCAACGAATTTTTGTAAAACTCATAAAAATTATTAAAACTGATGAAAATGTAAAACAATTTAGTCTTAAGTAGAATTTTAAATGAATAAACTACAGTAATTTTTCATACTTTAATATTAAAATTGATGCAGAAACGTTTCCTACTACTTTTGTACTTTCCCAGAGAAAATGCAAATTTGGGGGGAATATTTTGTGTGGACGACTGACTAAACTACAGGAACGGGCTTCACACTTCACTCGTTTTTAATCAAAAGATTCATGTAGATTCTGCTTTCCACGCCTGATCGGGGCGAGATCTATCCACCTGTAATGATTTGGATAAAAAGGGGAAACCCCTGTAGTTGTGGTAGCAGTTATACCAACTTCAGACTGCTGTCATTCCTTAGCCATTAGTCCGACAGCTGTTAAAATTATAATAGTGACAGCTCATTATATTGTTTACAAGCGTACAAACGCATTTTGGTGAAAATTTCCCAGAAAAAATGTTATTCGTGATGGAATTCATGCGTGATAGTGTGATTTGCTTATATTTTAAGTGGCTTTCGTTAGAGCACTCCAGAATAAATATTTTGTGTCTCGTACCATCGCTCGTTATCGTGATACTGGTAGCGTAGCCCTACGTCAAGAAAGTGGACGGCAGAAAACAGCAACATCAGCAGAAATGGTTCGAAATGTAAAGAAGCGACTTGATCGAAACCCGCAATATTCCATCCGGCAAATATTAAAAAATGAGCTCGGGGTAAAGCCATTGAAATTACAAAAAGTGCAAAAACTTACACCGCGACAGAAAGAAAATATACTCAAAAGAGCTAAAGAGTTGCTTCGCTTGGCCGAAAGTGGTGAACTGCCGAATTTGGTTTTCTCAGATGAGAAAACATTCCAGTTCCAACAGGACTCAGCACCATCGTACCCAGCACGCGCTTCCCAAGAATGGTTACAAAATGAGGTTCCTCCATTCATTTCCAGCGCACAATGGCCACCAAAATCTATGGATATCAATCCGTTATACTATTGTGTCAGGAGTATTTTGGAAAGCATGTTTGGCACTAAAAAATACCAAAGGTTCCTTAAAGGGTTTCACTGTAATGTGTGTTGTGAGGTGCCCCACATAAAGTTGTTGTTGGAAAGGCTTTGTTAAATATCCATTTTCCAGCGACGACCAATACGCTATAATTACGCCTCCATTGTATAGCACCCAAACTAAGGTCAATGACGTTTAAATAACCTGAATATGCTGCTCATTAAGCAGTAAACAATTACCATATTGAGAATTTACTAAGAGTATTATAAATAATTTTTAACGGAATTAATTAAACATCCTTGTCGACTTTAGTCACGATTTCTAGATCCCTATAGAGAAAACAATATGCTATCAATTCGTAGTGAGTGAGAATGCCATATGTGTTTTATTTTACGTTAATTTTTGTTCTTTAAATAAAATCACATGTCAAAATATTTTATGTTAGAAATGTTGGCGTTATTGAACAATCTTCGCCCTTTCCCTAAAAATTTTAATTCTTCAAATTTTTTGAATTGTAGATTTATCAACCTCAGAAGTGATATCATTTCGTAGTGATTCCCATTTCACACACTTTTGTTGGATACTTTTAGGAGGAAATAGTAAATTTTCCAAACAGGGCTTTGTTTTATAGATCCCTACGGCAATGTATCCTTGTGTCAGTGTCAAATGGCCCCGGTTCTTACAAGTTGTTGGTTATTAGTGCTTTGCGTGTCCTTTAAAAAGTGAATTAAGTATTTTATGAAATGTTAATCAATACAAACGCAGACTGAATAATATTTAATAAAAAAGAACAACAAATTGCTAGAAGAGACGAATTTGTTTATTTTTTGCCACAACAACAAAACGAACGGCACAAAAAATGCTGAAGCGTTGATTTCTGCCACATAAAACCAAGCAGCAAAACAACAAAACAAAGAAAAATTCAGGTAAAAAACTGTGATAAGGGTAAATTTGATATGACAACTACAATCTTGATTGTTGTTTCTATCATTCCAATAGAAAAAGTATTTTAAAGAAGTGAGTCCGTTGGCAAAAAGGACATTAAACCAATGGGCCTGCGCACAAATGCAAAGGAATGCCAAACGCAGTCGGCGGCGTCTGCTTCGGCGTCAGTCAACATGAATGTGCAACACCAGCAAGAAGATTTTGCAAAGAAAAAACAAGAAAGGGAACAAGAAATACAAGCCATACAAGAAATGTTAAATAATATAACAAAATCAAAGCCCGAAGAAAAAACGGATGCAAACGTCCAGAAACTCAAGGAAATGGAAAATAAGACTGAAATGCCATCGAAAGACAACAATATTGTGATCATGCGCAGAAGCAATACCGATCTTCAAATACAAAGGGCAACAACAACAAACAAACCCAATAGCCAAAAGCCAGTAAGTGGCGGCAGACAGTCACGCATAGATTCGGCTAGATCCCAAAGTGGGGGTAGTGCCAATAAAACACGTTCAAAATCATTGCAATTGCCGTCGACAAACAATAAAAATGTCAACTCCCAGGTTTCCTCCACCAACAAGAAAACCTATGACCCTGAAGAGGCCAGGCGCTTCATGGAATTGCAAAAGAAAAAACGTAGATCGGAAGCTGCATTGCAACCAGATGCCAAGGCCAATCGGGAAAAAGAGGAAATTAAGAAACGTTTAGAGGAGTTAAAGAAAAACACCCGAAAGTTGGTTAGCAAAAATTTGGATAAAAAGAAACACCAGAACTGCACTAATCGGTTAGATGGGGAGAAAATTGAAAATAAGACCATCAAAAGTGATCGAGTTTCAAAGGAGAGTGTCAGTCTTAAAGGTTTATCATTGGAACAAAAAACTAAAGGTTATCAGAGTGCACGACCTGCAGAAGAAAAGCAAGTTACTGCTCAATCGGCTTCCCACAGCCTACCTCTTGCTAGTGCCTTCAAGTCCCATTTGCCGTTGGCTGAAAATCATAAACGTATTGGCCTTTTACGTAAAACTGAAGATGAGAAAGATTATTCATTCAGTGCCCTGAAAAGCATTCGGAATGACAAAGAAAATCGAGGCCTGGAGGAATTAACATCAAAATTAAATACCCAGTTTGAAAGTAAATTACAAAGGGATAAAGAAAATGGAAATGAATTGAAACAAACTTCTCTGGAACTGAATATGCTGGATAATGTGTCCGATTTGGAAATACCCAAGAAAACTTTAGAAACAAGTCCAAAGAAGCATGACCCTGGGGCAGGGGAAATTAACAATAAAGAAGACTGCGGGGGAAATCCTTCAAAATCCCAAGACCTACCCTTCTTGTTGCGGCCCACAGCTGCTCAAGTTTATCCTTACAATTTCATAATGGCTGTACGCCGAAAACTTGAGGCCATTTCCCAACCCACTCCCGTGGTCCCGATAAAACGGGAAAAGATGCTGAAAAATAGTCAGGCTACTTCAACAAATGATTTATTATTAGGAGAACACAAGGAACCGGAAAAGAAAAGAAAACTATTAGATAATTTGATTGAAAATGAAAACAAAAAACGAAAAAGCTTGGAGGGCTCGGATATTGCAGAAAAGAAGACTTTGGAGGGTGCTCCCAAAACCACACTTACCATGTCTCTGGAAAGTTTAAAATCTCCTCAACAAACTTATACCATGGATTTCCATAAAGATACGGAGAAAATCGCATCGTCCCTAAATAAATCTTTTCATAGTTCTCAGGAAAAGACTTTCGACTCGGAACTAGAGTTGCTGGGGAAAACCAAATCTAAGTATAAATCCGTGGAAAGTATTGTTTCCAATTATTCCTCCTCGTCGTTGCCTCTGCCCATATCCAATACTTTAACCGAGGTTTCGTCCCTTCGTACCGAATCCAGACGCACTTTTTCCATGTCTCAGGGAAATTCCAAACAAAGTCAATTGAATACCGAGGATGAGGTAACCTCTATTTCATCACAAATTTTTAGCAGTCCTGAAAAGAAATATTCAAAACAATATCAAAATGACTTTGAATTCGTAAAGCCGAGGCCAGTGAGTCCGTTGTCGCTAGAGAAGGTGGAAAATTTAAAGATTAAAAGTAAATCCAAAAACCAGGAAACGCCAGGGGTAGGTGGTTCGAGGGACGAGGATAGGGAATTGCATTTCTCCCAATTGCTGGATGATTTTAATCGCAGCCTGTCCCAGGTGATACAAGTCAATGAACAATTGAAATCGACCTTAGACAAATCTTCACGGATTCTAAGTCCTCGTAGTAATGTTAGCAAAAACTCCCAGAAGGAATCCTCGGATAAGCAACAACAATACTCCTCCGATTTCGAAAATTCCTTATCCACAACTCCAGGAAAAGATAAACTTAAATTATCCCTTGAAAATACAAATGAAAAATTGAAGACACGTAAAAGGCAACTATTTCAAATGGCCAATCAAGTCAAGCCTTTGTTGACATCACCCCCAAGAGAATCTCCCCTACCCCAATTAGATTTGCAATTGCAAGATAATTCAAACAATAGAAAAACTTCATTCTATAGTCAAGATCAAGAAAATGAGGAGGGAGAAGATGAAAGCACTTTGGAGGTGAATGAATTTGAACACCATAAAGTGGAAGAAATCGCCACAGAAAGTAAAGAGTACGAAAAACGTCTTGGTATGATTGAAAAACTCAGGGAGAATCTAAAACAAAACATTAAAGAATCGCAAAACAATCGGGCACATAAATCCAATGCCGATAGTTTCACAACTTCGGTTCATAACAAAAAATCAAATATGTCTGTCTATACTTCAGAAGATGGCAGAGAAAATCTGCAAGAATTGAAAGCGAAATCATTTTCAAAAGAAACGGAGGAACAACACAGCTCAAGGGACAAACATTCTCAAATTGATTATGAAGATTGTAGAGATAAGGAGGATTTAATATTAAAATACACAAAATCTCTGCAAGAAGAAAATAGTAATGAAGAAACCATTATTCTATACAAACGTAATAAAATTGTTAATCCCAAAAAGACTGCCAGTTCCAACGAAACCACAAAAAGGGCCGCGGCCAGTGAAAGTTATGATTCGGCATCAAGTCAATCGAATGTGGAAGAGCAAACTTCTTCTAAATACAGTCAACGATCCAACAGTAATTATACAAAAACCGAAATATATTCCATGAACTCCAAGAGTGAGATTATGACTGGAAGAAGTTCCAATAAAAATGAAGCGAAGCGTAACAGTTCAACAAATGAGCATTCCATTACCACCAATTCCTCTATCTTAGAAGATTTACAAAAAATACAAGAATTTTCCAACAAAGAAAATGAAAATCCTCCACCTGCACCTTCGCTGAGATGCAAAAATAAAAGCAAATCACATTCGGAAACGGCCGCAAACTTTATTAATTGTCACATCAATCGGTCTCGAGGGGATTTTCAGGAACTCAATACGAAAGAGGCAACTTTAAATGAAACACAATTCCATTTGGCCATACGTTCATCACAAACAAGCTGCACTGAATTATCACAAAGTGCTGATGATGAAGTCACCACCACCACAACCACTGCCAGTAGCATTAAATCCATAATGAAGAAGCAATCAAATGACATTTCTTCAAATCCCCCAAGTTACAATGCAGTTTCCAAAAACAATCCAAAGTCAGAGTCAAAGGAACACAATCCGAGTATAAGCCTGCTCTCACCATCCAAGGCATCAAGGCGCATATCAATTGGTACGGAAATTGTAAATTTCTTTCATAAATATGATCATGAACGGTCCTCGGCAGCACTGCAGCAAGGTAACGATACCATATCTGAGTCTTCGTTAAATTACTCAAATGTGGGTTTGGTAAGTTATGAGCATTCTGCAATGTTTTGTTTTAGATTTTAATTGAAATCGTATTTTTAGTACGACAAACTTATTCAAAATGAAATGAACAAAACCCAACACTTAACTGCCCTTTTGAAAATGCGTGAAAAGGCCTTAATGGATCGTACCAAGGGTCAGATTGCTTGGCTAGAGGTTCAAAAGGCCCGTTACAAGGCCAAGGGTTTATTGGGAAACATAGCTGCCATTAAAAAGAAACAACGTGGCATACTATTGAAAATGGAAAAGGAGCGGGAAGAGATCAAAAGGTAGGTGGATTGTTTTCAATTCTCATTTTTTTTAATTTGCGTAAATTTGAACACTCGCTGTGCTGAGATAAGAGCAGAAAGTGGTTCTTATATACCATTCGGACAGTGTAAAGTCAGTCGTTTTTAACGAGCTGAGTCTTTAGCGTAGAGCCAAGTGGAGTTATTGTTGACGAACTGAGAGGAGTCTATATAGACACGCCGAGGGAAGTCTATATAGGCTAACTGAAAGAGTCTTTATAGACGAGTTTGGGGGAGTCTTTATACACCAGCTGAACGGGACTTTATGGACGAGAAGATGCCATCCGAAACCTTATGTCATCCAAAGTGTTGTTTAACTGCTACACTCTCCACTACATGTTTAGATAAATACTTACAACGATGGGCACATAGTTCCGACTAATAACTATCTCAAGATTCTAGAGCTCACATTCGACGGCATGTTCAAGACGCCTATGTAAACCATAGCTATCTGCGATAAATTGAGAACTAGAAACAATGTCCTCAAGGCGCTAGCCGGCAGTACCTGGGATGCGGATAAGGAGGCCTTTTTGATGTCTATGAAGCTTTAGGTCGTCAAGCTTTAAGTCATCCAAAGTGTTGTTTAAGGGATACACTGTCCACTACATGTTCAGATAAATACTTACAACGATGGGCACATAGTTCCGATTAATAACTATCTTAAGATTCTAGAGCTCACATTCGACGGCATTTTCAAGTCGCCTGTGTAAATCATAGCTATCTGCGATAAATTGAAAACTATAAGCATCTGGGATGCGGATAAGGAGGCCTTTTTGATGTCTTTAGGTCGGTCTGTGGTTGGCCTTGCGACTCAAGTCTGTGAATACCAGATATGGAGGACCATCGTTATAAGTGAGAGGCAGCTCTGAGTGGCATTGATACAGATGCAGTCACAGATACTTTTAACAATTACAGTACAGTACAGTGAATCTCGTCCTCGAAGTCGATTTTATCCATATGAAGTACTCTCTAAAGGCTATTCTTAAACAATAGTAATAAAAAATCCGAGTTTCTTTCAACTTTTACACAATTGCTTGCATTCTCCGCCCAACATAAAGTCCCTTAAGTCATTAGGGTTAGAACGGTTCGCCACACTCTTTTTGTTTTCATTCAATTCTGATACACTTGGGTGATTGAAAACATTTGCTTGTTTTTCAAATTGGAAATAATCTGCCATACCTTCAGACATCCTGTCATTTCGTCATCATCAACAACATCATCATCATCGCGATGGTCGTCATGCGGTGCATCATGTCGAAAGATGTGTCATTTTGTTTTCACTTGAATTCTTTTGGTTCCTGGCTGCTACTGTCGCTGTTGTCGTTGGTTTTCTGTTTGTTTTTCACCAATGTCTAGGAGTAATCATTAAGGCGCCAATTTGCAATTTGACGCAAATTTCTTTGAGTAAATTGTTTATATACACTACTGCTGCTGTTGTTGTTATTTCGAACTCACGATAAAATTAATGTACAAGACATTATCTTATGGCCAGACATTACCATTATCAAAAAGAAAATCACACAATCTTCCATTGCCATCGTTTCAATGGATTGGAATGAGCCCTACAAAGAGAACATACGACGAAATGTTTTTCAGTTGATTATATACGCTTGGATAGAATGCATTCGCCACCATCCAACCATAAGGATATACAAATTTCATTGGACCCTTCAGCCGCCACTAAGAACTGCTGCTAGAAAGCCACAAGCAAGTAAGCAAGCCATTCAAACAGCATCACCTTTATAATATATCATCAAGCACATTTTATAAGTGTGTGTGTGTGCATGTCTCTGGGCCGAACTAGCGATACGTCGGGGGCTATACGCTTTACTATATATGACAGCCACAGAAAAAAGTGTCAGTGTAGAAGAAGATTTTCAAAATAATAGCCAAATCAACAGCATTAGTCGCATGGCCTTTTTGTCGTGGATTGTTTTTTTTCAGTCGTTTTGTGGGCGCCATCCATTTTTTGTTTTGTTTTGATTTTTTGTTTAGTTTGGGGGTTTTTCTTTTGAAATAAGTTTGATGTATGAACACAGGGGCCAGCACACACATCCGATCCGAAACGATCCCATCCGATCCGTGTGCCTACATATATACATGTGTTTTTTCTTCATTAATTGGCACGGAATCCAACTCATAAATAATGGGAAATAATAAAAAATAACACACACAACAACAACAACAGCAAAAACATCAGGAAAATCATCTAAATTGAAAAATGAACTATCACACAAACACTTAAATGAACACAGACACACAACACATCACAACACTTCGTCATGAGACATCATGAATTGTTGATATGTTTCTTTAATGATGATATTAAAATCATAAAAATAATCATTTTTTGAATATTAAAATATGAAAAAATAGCAAAAAAAAAGAATGAATGTTCTTGGAGAGATGAAAACATTGGCATGGTATAAAAACATCAAGCCTTTCAACACCTTATATCTATGTACATAAAAATTGACATAAATTGGATGAGAAAAAACTCACTACGATAACGGCTGTGATAGTTTAAAAAAATATATAATAAATAAATAAATAATATATATATATATATATATATATATATATATATATATATATATATATATATATATATATATATATATATATATATATATATATATATATATATAAATATATATATATATATATATATATATATATATATATATATATATATATATATTTTTTTTTTTTTTTTTACCTTTCGGTAAACTATTGCCCAGCTTTCTAAATCGTGCCAAAACTACTTAGTTGTCATTTGTCATTCTTCAGCTACGATGGGAAGGGGGATATCTCCGAGTACGGTATTCGCTATGTATCCACGCTCCATGATTTCTGTGACCGGGTCAGAGTGAATTCTATTCAGTTCTGCTTGAAAGGCCCGTAGATCTAGAGCAGGTCAAGACAGAGAATTTCAACGTTATTTTATATGTGTTTTGAAATAAAAAATATTGCAAATACAGCAAATCTATTATTATATCTTCTGTTATTAATAAACCGTTCTTAAAACGTTTTTTATACCCTCCACCATACATATATTAAGTTCGTCATTCCGTTTGTAACACTTCGAAATAATAATTTTAGAACCAACAAAGTATATATTCTTGATCAGCGTAAAATTCCGATCGTCCGTCTGTTGTAATAACGCTAGAGTAAAAACGAATAAAGTTATGAAGCTAAAGTTTTGCACCGATCTATATAGCCTCCATATAACGGTACCCCCGATATTCGGTATTTTGATGATTTTAACCTTCCTTCCGAATGGTGGAGGGTATAAAAAGTTCAGCCCGGCTGAATTAAGCTGCTGTTTTACTCATTTTTTTTTAATTTGAGAATTAATGACGTTCCAGGATAGACAATAATAAGGTAGTTATGTGCACTGAAGTAGATGGTCGACAGATGTTATGAGGAGGAGGTTGCTGTCTTAATGGCGGCTTTCTGGCAGGTCAATATACTACATAGCTCTTGTATTCTCAGATCACACTGTGGCTGATGGCATTATAAGAGGTCAGCAAGGTCTCCTTGTTCGTACCCCAAGTTCCAAGCGCTGCCGGCGAGCGCCTTGAGAGCCCTGTTCCTACTTTTCAATTTATAGCAAATGTGACTTGTGACTTGCGCAGACGACTTGAAAAGGCTGTCGAATGTTACCCCCAGGATCTTGGGGTAGTTCTCGGTCTGATTTAAAAGCCTCACGGGGAATTTCTGGAAGGTAGAGGCTAAACAGTTTCGTCGATATGACCTTCACATATGATTGGCGTTCAAAAATAAAGCTGATTATCCAACGTTTCTAACTTGACCCGGGGAGTAGTACTCTGTACATTCTCAAACAGTGTGCTGTGGTTGAGCTGTATCAAATACCCATGATAAGTAGAAGACGTAACAGTTATACTCAACTCTAGGTGTATCCAGGTGTCCTAAAGTTGTATTATTCATAACCCATCATTAACTGTGCTGGTAAATACATCGTGGGAAGATATTTTATACGACGTAGACTCTTCGTTTCGCCCTCGGGATGCTCGACGGATTGCCGATTTAAAGAGGCCAGCACATCTTACTCATATTGGCAACAATTGGCACTTTTTCTCTTATGCTTCTGTATCAATCGATTAACCTCCTCTGACTATGGATCAGTGGAATTGGAACAATGGAGCTCATTCTCTAGTCTCGCTGCTCGGAAATTTGGTCTCATGTAGAATATTTCATATATATGACGAACGGCAGCAGCTTTGATGATGTATCGGAAAAAACTTTTCTGATATCCAAACTTCAGAAGGCTGGTGCAGTTCTATGAATCGAAAACTGATGAATTCTCAAATTTCCAGCCAGGGTAATGGAAAGTGCTGCGTTCAGTTGCAATGCAATCGAGCGATCTGCTTATGAAGACAATTATGGGAAATTGGTCTTAACGAAGAAAAAATGACGGGTTGCCAAGTCTCTCACAAGCCACACTTGGCTGCTACTCCTATAATTCCATATGCGGGTTACTAGAGACTAGCTCAGGCATGATATATCTGTATTAAACACAATAATTTTCCAAAGCCTATCACAGTTGTAATTTTTTAGGGATAAATGCCCAAAGTCCATCATGCCAAAAACTGAATATTTTAAGAATATTTCTCCAAGACTATATCACCGATTTTATTTCCGATACCCATCACAGCTTTTATCGTGGATTCTTAGGAATTATTTTGGAAGCCCACTCACAGCTGTAATTATGACCATTTTTAGAATTGCCCACATTTAAAAAAATGAAACACCGATTACTATAGACAAAAGCCTATTTTCTTTTGTAGACATATGTACGATGTGTGCGGTTATTGTTTTCATTCTTCGTTACTCTCGTCCGCTGCCGTCCACATCATTCATTTCATTTGATAGATGAGCAATCAAGCCGGAGACAACGTACCAAAAACATAAATGAAGGGATTTGTAACAAGTCATTTTCAATAAATCTTCATGACTAG